AGGAATAAACGCAATTAAACCATATAAAGCATTTGTCAAAAATACCGTTATTTGTTTGAATGGATTGACTGGCATTTATTAGCCAAAGATAAAATAAATGAAGTCTTGAACGAATTTAGAGTAACTGAATATAGTATATGGTATTACTACAACACTAAATATAAAGTATGTCTATTGTTGTATTTATTCTTTTGGGAATATATTTATTCAATAATAGGAAAAGACAATATCAAATATATAGATAAGGATGATATAGATAAATATGTAGATTACATATTTGAAGACATATTGCCTGACCATTATTTTAATCCATAAACCTTACAATAAAAAACATTGTAAGATTTATGATTTCAAAATGACTTGAAGAAATAATAACTTAATATATTATAGCGGAATGAGTGATACAGTCGGTATCAATGCTAAAAATATATTGAAAAACAAGTTTATGAGTTATAAATGTAAAGACTGTGAAATGCTCAAATTACCAATTGAACGGGGTTTTGCAAATGGCGTTTGTAATAATATTTGTCAATACATGATATGCAATAATTGCAATAGAATTATAAAAAAAATGATGATATGAACAACAAAGATATTGAAATTATACATAATGAAACTCTTGATGATGATTTAGAAATATTTGTGTTTATTGAAATGAATAATTTCTTAACTATAGAAGGGTTTGATCATTTATTAGAATGTGACGACGAAGGATATAATAATGAATTTATTTTTAAGTATTATTGTATGGTAAAAAGATTATACAATATGTCTTTTAATATTAAACGTTTAAACTATGTTGTATTGTTTAATTTTTTAAATGAGTTTTTAAATGATGAGTATAGAATTGACGAACTTAGATATACAGTAACACATGCAATTAGAGCAATGGGGTTGTTTAGAACAACAATAGGAAGTAATATTTATAATGAAACAACGTGTGATATAATAATAGAAAGACTTAAATTAATAATTTAGTTTTAGGCGAAATAGTCCTAAAGAAAAAACACCTTATATTAATAGTGAAGAAATGAGCGGTATTGAAATCAATAAGTATATTAATAAGAAATGCTATGACTGTTGCCACTTCAAAAAAGAAAATATGGAATTGTATAAATTAAATTTACCTAATGGAATAATAAATAATATTATTGATTATGCTTTGGGTGAAGAAGATTTATGTAACATTTGTAGAAATTGGAGGTTTTATCAAGAATTAATCAAATGTACTTTAAGTATTAAAAGGTTTAATGAAAGAAATGTTGAAGATGACATTTTGATATTTTTAACTGTGTATAGAAGACCACCTTATAGTTATGTTAGAATATTTCTGAAAATCAGTAAGAAAAATATGAAATGCTTGAAGGTATATTATGGATGTTGACTAATCATAGTAGGGAAGGGTTTGATGTAAAAGAAGACATTAAAACATATATTGAAAGAAAAAAGTTTAATGTCAAAAATACAGTGAGAGATATTAATATTATTTTTAAAATAATGCATGAAAGAAGTAAAATATATTTACAACTTAGTAGTCATCAATTAAATTATTATCCTGAACTTAAACTATAAATTACACCATAAACCTTACAATAAAAACATTGTAAGATTTATGTTTGAATTTCTGTGATTTGTTATTAAACATAATGTTAATTAGTAATTTAGTTTTAGGCGAAATAGTCCTAAAGAAAAAACACCTTATATTAATAGTGAAGAAATGAACGGTATTGAAATCAATAAGTATATTAATAAGAAATGCTATGATTGTTGCCACTTCAAAAAAGAAAATATGGAATTGTATAAATTAAATTTACCTAATGGAATAATAAATAATATCATTGATTATTGAATGGATGAAGAAGATTTATGTAAAATTTGTAGAAATTGGAGAGATAACCAAGCTATAATCAATTGTGTGTTGAGAAAAAAGGAAGACATAATAGAAATGTAGAAGATGACATTTTGATATTTCTAACTGTAAATAAATTACCACCTTACGATTATGTTAAACAGTTTCTTAAAATCAGTAAGACAAAATATGAAATGATTTATGATATATTATGGATGTTGTGTTATAGTCAAAAGAAAGGAGCAGATGTTAAAGAAGATATCAAACTTTATATTGAAATTAAAAAGTGTAATGTTCAAAATACAGTGAGAGATATTAATATTATTTTGAAAATGATGTATGAAATAAGTAAGACAAATCAATTAAATTATTATCCTGAACTGAAATTATAAATTAACCCATAAACCTTACAATAAAAAACATTGTAAGATTTATGTTTTGAAATTATGGGGATTTTATATTTTTGGATTTTGGGAAAATATATTTTGGGAATTTGGGATTTTTAAGATGGTCTGGTCTTAAAGACATGCCACCTATCAATAGTAGCATGGAGATGACTGACAAAATGCAACAATGTAGGCGATGTGAAAACACTTATCCACCTGACCTATTTAATGTTAGAGTGCATATTTGTGATTACTGCCGAGAACAAAGTAAAATTGATAGGAAGGAAAAGAAAAAGGAATATAGTAAAGTGCGTAATCAGATTGAAATAGAATGTGATATTTGCCAGTGTAAAGTGAGGAAATCTGCAATATCCAAGCATTTGAAAACACAGAAGCATATTGAGAATGAGAATAAAGTAAAAACAACAGTTGAGGAAGAAAAACCTAATGAAATTGAAAATTCAAAACCTCCAGTAGCACCAGAGGTCAAAAAGGAAATGGAGGAAGTGAAGGACAAAGTTTTTCAAATTGTAGGTGAATTACCCTTTCTGGAAAATTATTTCATTTCAGCATATTCCGTGAGGAATTCTGCAATTATTCAAATTATGAAATAATATGATTTAAATTTTAACCATAAACTTTACAATAAGAATATTGTAAAATTTATGATTTATAATTCTTCGGAAAAATGATAATTTTGTAAAATAATATTTTTGAAAATTTAGAAAAATATTTACAAAATTTATGTATCAAATCTTGAGTTGAGGTTCTGTTATGAATTGATGAACAAATGTTATGTGAATTGGTCGGTTGAGGGGATTTTATCCAACTGGGGGGTCCCCCTTGGTAGGTCTTTTGCCCCTGGGCCTTAATCGCCTGTTACCGGGGTTGCCTTGGGAAGCACTGAAGGAGGGGAACATCTCGCCCCTTGTTCTGGGTGCACCGCAGTGCCCAGGAAAGTGCCACCTTCCCAAGCAACTTTTCCCTTGTGTTTATAGGTCGGGGGTGAATCTCCTACGCCGCCGCCATTTGGTGCTCCTAGCCCTCAAACTCACATTTAGGACTCGCAGTCCTGGTTTCGTTTTAAAACCCACCCATCCGACCCTTCTAAGCCCGAAGCTCGCTTAGGCCTTCCGGACAGCCCTCCCCGCTGGGAGCCCTCCGGACATGAACTGGGAGCGCGCTCTCAGCTTCATACCAGGGCCCAGACCCGCGGTCTGGCCCTGTGAGCGTCTCTGGACCCGCAGGTCCGTTGACGCGGGCGTGGGCACGCTTGCCACGCCCCCCGTCTGGCATTTTTAATGCAAGGACACGCTTGTCTTGCAACCTTGTTTTCCACAAGGGGGGGGGAACATCTCGCCCCTTGTCCTGGGACCGCAGTGCCCTAGGAAAGTGCCACCTTCCCAAGCAACCCGGTAAAAAGGTGTGCGCCTTGCTGTCGGCTTTTGGGTTCAGGGTTCTTTGTGGTTTGAGGCTAGGAGCAGTGCGCGGGACCTTTAACCTTTTTGTAGCATGTGACACTCTGTTTAGGCGACCGGCGCGGGAAAAATGTAATATTTTATCAGGATTGGTTGAGGTTTTAATGGATAAGGTTAGGGGTAGAGGGAGATAGGGTGGTATAGGTAGGCGTTGAGGAAAGTTGAGGTTGGGGCAGGGGTGTGAGGCGGGGTGCCAGCTTGGGGTTGAGCAAATCTCGACAAGCTTCAGAAGTATGAAATCAAACGCCTTGCTTCCCCTGTCTTGCACTGGGCTTTGGGCTGACTTCTTAACCGTCCGTGCCTGCTGAGGTTGTCCCGGCGATTCTCTTGTAGAAGGCTTGTATACGCGGAAAACAATGCAGCCTTTCTTTTTCAGTGCCCCTCAATCGCTCCTTCACAATAGTGAACATGAGGCATCAACGATAATCATCAACCACCGCTTGATCACAGGAATGAAGCCAGTCAATGGCAAAAATGCTGGACCTGAATCCTTGTGCTCCATACAAAAAAGGCATGCTGCCACACTTCGCCTGTATCCTAGCAAGCAAGTCCGAATGAGTAAAGAGACACTGCCTCCATGCTGCGTTTTGGCTGGTGTGTCACTATGTGCGACATGCATCGGGCCAACTTCAGTTGCATGGCTACTTTATGTTTCAGCAAGAATGCAGCATCAGCATTTGGTGGTTGCAACGCAATGTATGCAGGCACACCTTTGTCACGATGTTTTCCATTTTTGCCCTTTTCACATTGTTTGTGCCTAAATGACTGTCAGTGCTTGTATTGAATTGTATTGGAATTGAAACGTGTGCCCAAGCCACGTGCGTGAACATGCATTTGCATTTGTCATGATCCAACTGCAACTCTATGGTTGGATGACTCAAGACAGCCCGCCCGATGCACAACCGACGCACCTCCACAACCCGACGCACCAACGTGCAACCTGAGACAAAGCCTGGGACAGTCGCAGTGCCGCGTGCTTAAACTCCCCCAATTTTGTTTGTTTCGGCTGCCCGCCATGGCCAAAGATGTCAGGTCTGCTGCTTGGAGAGTTGGATGTGTTCCAGGGATAGCTTTCCATTTCGATAAACCGAGAGGAGCCAGAATTTCAAATCCTCAGTCCCCACTCCAAGCCTGTTGAGGGTAAGGTGGAACCTCTAGTTGTTATTCACACGCGATGGGAGGACTGTTAGTTCACCAACCCAAGCCACCAAAAGATGTACTGGGGAATATGTTCTTATTGAAACTGCACACAACTTGACCAGGAACCCGGAGTTTTGGAACAAGTTCATGCAGCGACCGGAGGCAGATACGAGATGAGAATTCGATAGAGGATGTGACTGTTAGAGGTGCAAGCTGCAATGCGGTCGAAGCTGAAGTACGAAAGCGCTGCGGAGGCGAGTTTAGAAGCTGGGGGTCAGCATGTCAGAATTGACACCCGCCAGCGCACACTTTTTTGGTTGGTCATGGGATCCATTCATTTGGCATCCAGAGGCAGCGCAGAGAACCAAGTTGGATAAGTTGGAGCGGAAACAAAGAAGGCCTGGCTGCTCATTGCACGGTTTGCTTGATGTATATTTGAAAAACGCCTTTTCAACCAGGTACGAGCTCATGGGAGAGTTGATGAAGTGTGCTACCAACATCAAGCACCTGATTTCACCCATGTTCCGGTGCGCAACGGCAGCATTTTCTGTTTGAATCTTGGTGCATGCGTTTTGCAAGGTACAAAATTACTCAGCAGTACTTGTGGAAGGCAAATTTGCTGCCCTTGAATGTTGTGCCACTGCTCGGCATGTGCCGTGTGCCGCATGAAGAGTTGCAATGCGGCTTGTCTCCTGGCAGTGGTTTTGAATGGGCAGGTCCTTTGTGAAGCTCGCAAAGAGGGCTTGCTATTTTGCGACAAAGTGAGGTGCTACGGCCTTGCTTGATCACATGAGGTTTGGTCAAAATTTCCAGTAGTTGATGAAGGGGCATGGGACTCATTAACATTCCCCGTTGGGATTCACTCAATGTTGTATTTTTGCGCTTGCAAATAGGTAATTTTGACCGTGCCTCACATCATTCTTTGCACTGTGCCCAATGGTTTTGCGAGTTTTGCTGCTCTGGGTTGAAAGGCAGTCAATGTCCATGACTGCCAGGCAGCCTCAGGTGTATCATAGGCTGCAAGCCATCAAGGCACTGTGGCTGTGGCTTTGCGGTTCTGCGATTGACATGGACACTATATAAGGGCTTTTTCGCCAAACATGTATTGCTTCTTTTGGGTTCGATGTGAATCTGCAATGGTAGCACTTGCTCTTACTGTAGAGTGGAGCAGTTGAACGCAAATCTTCTTTTCATATCCTCGAAAGGCGGAGATCACAGCAGGGCCTTACGGAGTAGCTGGCTGGCAAGCAGAAGAAGAGGCCGAAGTACTTGGGCACGGGCAGATGACAACCACCACTGAATTCCATATGTATATATATGGGCACATGGTAATTATATAGGCCTCACCTGTTCTCCTTTATGCTTGTCCGTCAAATGTACTGTGCAGAGGCACTTCTGCAGTTCTTCTAATTGGAGCCCATAGCAGGTTTGGAGCACAGCTGCAGTCGGTTGATCCTTTCAGCTAAATACCCAACGCCACAACCAACATTCTTACACTTCCATGGATTCACGCGGCGTGCATCGAGAGGTCGAAGAAGACCTCATGGACAAGATGGTTGTGGAAGCTGATTGCATTCCTGGTGGCATTGACGGCGAGGCGTTAAGAATTTCTCTCCACTCCTATCTCCGTGCCAATGCATCTAATGGTTGTCAAGGGCCCCGCAATAGTGCCTTTCGGGGGGGGGGGGGGGGCAGGAGAATGGTAACGTACGGAAAAGCTGAATCGTGCGTCAAAAAGGGAATCCTTACTTTGGAAGTTGCCAGCACATTTTGCTACCTTGGCAATGCAGATTGGCCTTGCAACTGCCAGGCACCTGATCGAAAGCAAGTGCTTGATGCACGCGAGATCCAGGTGCAACCTAAGACACGAGTTGCAACTGACAGCTCGTTGGCTGGGCAAGGGGGTTGGCTTCCGTTGAGAATCCCAGCGAGGGTCCCTCGAGTCTTGACACGAAGTTCAATGTTGCTTTGATCAGGGTGTGTTGGACTTTGGGCAGCGCATCAAGACAGAGGGGAACGAGGCGAGTCTGCACGTGCTTGTGACTGCGTATGTGAACATGCGCGATGTTGCGTGTCAATATCAGTCATAAGTGTGCAGGCATTCCTGAATGAGAATTGGGAAGGCGCTCTGACGCGGCCAGAACCCTAGCAGGCAAGCTCTAGGCTTCATTGTGCGGAGCCACACCATCCAATCATCTCTTGGAGGGGATCTCCCAGATGTGCACACTGGTTTCTTACTGATAGTTTCGTGCAACACTTATTTTGAAAGCAAATATTGTTTACTTCTGTCGGCCATCGATATCTCATCGGCTCCAACGCACGAGTTCGACCTTTGGATGGCTCGCCACGCCTTGCGCTTGCTTCAGGAAGGTCATTTAGGGTCCGATGGGAAGTTCGATTTGTGCAACCGGTTTACATGGCGACAAGTCTCACACAATTTCAACATACGGCTCCATTTCATCCTTTCGTCGCAAACAAGAAATCTGCCAGCCGAAGACTTGGATTTGCACTGGATGGAGCCAGTCTGCTTTTCTGACTGCCATGTTCTTGAAAGCAGTCGCTAGGGATGAGCACCATGTAGCGAAAGAGTCCAGCTGAGAAGTCAACCTGCCTGGAGTGGGCAGGGTGTGTTGTCCTCTGCAGCAACATGTGTGTGATGCGCTTTCGAATAGCTGCATGAAATGAACACCTTTATGTTGAAGACAGCAATATTGCCATGCGTACTCATTGCAGCCTGCACCATTTGTCAGATCTCGTTCTACCCGACTTTGCCGGATTGAGTGCTAGCAGTTGGCAGGATCGCGAGCTGACAATGCAAACAGTATGGTACTGGCTTGAAACTCTGCAACAGCGAGTCTGCTGCTGTAGAAGCAGAAATCAGTGGCCAACGCCACCATGCGAAGCTTGATGCCGTTTGGATGAGATACGATGGGTGCTTTTTCTCAAGCTAGCTTTCTTGGTTCGCTTTAGGCCGGCCAGTGCGCGGGCCAAGGTATTGCCAGGGTGATGAGATGCTCAAGAATTTTGCCGCCGAGCCTCATTTAGACAAAGAGAACAAGGACCTGGTCGTCCCATTACTAGCTTTGTTTGAAAAGGTTGATTTCTTGGGCTTGCCTTGAACCTGCAGGGAGCTCCTCAGCTTGACGCTGCCATTGCTTGAACTTGAACGTTGGCAGGAACTGAAGACAATGCATCGCCAGTGCTTGAACAACAAGGCATCTCCACCCTTGCGACAATGGCGTTTTCTGGCAGCTTCACTGATGACTTGGATTCTAGTTTTCCGGCTGAAATGACGCAACTGTGCCAGACTGCAAATAGCACGTTGCCAGCTGCAAACAATAAATCGTGATCTTTGGGCGTTTTGTTTCTTTGTTTTCTTCTTTTTTTGTTTTTTATTCTTTTTGTTTCCCGTTTTATTTTTTAGGGGGGGTTGGATGTTTTTTTTTTTTTTTTTTTTCTCGGGGGGAGGGGGGACGACCCTGTATGGACAATTCATGGTTTGCATGAGGCTTTGCAGCAATGGTTTGAGAGGTGTATCAGCGTGGCAATGCGAGAGGCAAATGCTGCCCTGCAGATGGACCAGTGGCAAACTGCATTGAGAGCGCTGGGATCTAAGCTGTGGATGCCTCCGTCAACGACGGGCAACGTCCCGTTCCCCTACTTGGGTGTGTGGCTACAGCAAGGGGCACCCGTTCGTTGTGGGGTTCTCTTTCAACTCACCTGAAAAGGGCACCTCAACAAGCAACATGCGCACCGACTTGAAGTGATGCTGGACTCAGCCCAGTTGAGCCATAGATGCTTTGAAGCCATCATATGGTATGACCCAGGGCCGAGTCGGCTCTCAAGCTGAAAATGGATGATGAGAAGGCACGAATGCGCATTCCTTTTTGGCATGTAGCAGCCTAACTACACGAGGATGGGATGCACTGGTCTTGTGGAATTGACCGTTCTTTGTGAAGGCCATCGTTTCATCACCCCCCACCCAGGGAAGCGGCATGACTTCCGAAACGTTGACGCTGCACGACCTTCTTTCCAGCGCGAGTAGCCTCATACCGACTAGCGCGCATCAACTGCCTTTAAAGGAAACAAACTGAGCCAGGGCGTTTTGCCGTTGCAAGCTCTGTTTTTCCTTTCCCCAAGCCAACGCATTTGTGACTCGCTTGCCAGGCGCTCTTTCGCAAAGCTCAAGCGCTGGAAGGCGGGCCAATTCTACCTCAATATTCCGTGACGCGAACTTGAGGCATCGACGATTTCTGAAGTGACAGCCACGATCTGGACTCCCAAAGTGGTGGTTCTCTTCTGGTTCCCCCTTGAAATCATCATTTAAAGGGTGCCCTCAAACAAATCACCCTGAAACCTGCGATTTGAGGCTAGGGTCCAGCTCAACCAAGAGACTGGCCTTACCTTTTTGTTCAGGCCTGGGCAAAACCGAGGAGGCGGGGAACAGGAAAGGCGTATAGCGGGACAAGGGTCAAGCAGTTGTCAGCAATAGGCACCCACAATGGAACCCTGATACATGGAAACATGGACTAAAACTTGTGTTGTAGTGTGATTTTGACCCATACCCATGTGAGCCACAATCAAACCCCTTTGGTAGATGAAGCTTAGTGAAGGACAATCCCAACCATAAATATCTGCAGATATCCGCCTTCTTTCTTGAAGCATGGTTCTGGGATTACGACCATTTTGGTACAAAGGGTTTTGAGCAAGTGACTCATGTGGCTGCGCGGCTTCAGAGGCCTTGGAGGTGCTGGACGAGGTGGAACAGATCGCCGAAGATATGGACGAGGCAGACCCGTCGCCGTCGCCAGTGTTGCATTGCCTTTGGAGTTTGCTGTTCACCAGAGACGTGACATAGCGCGACAGGATCGGAGTCAGTTGCAGGTTGGGACTTTTGAAACCAGCAAGAACCGGGTAACCAGTTGGCGCTTGGCAAGAGAAAGGAGCCCTGGAGTCCTTTGAAAAGTAGAGCACATAGCTTGACCCACCCGCGTCTTTGGAAGAAAGGTTTGTGGCCCATGATCCCCCAGCCCCCAAACCCCCCAACCCTCCTCACTCCCCTAAACCCCGCAAATCGCTCAAGCGCCAGGAGTTTCGGGAGCAGATCCTGGACGACGTGCGAGAGCAGCGCGAGGCTTCCAAGGGATCAGTTCTGCCACGGCTGCCATGAACACGGCTGGGCATCATAGGTCTGTTCTCATTGGCGCGCAGTTGTCACGCAAGCACATGCCATAGATTTTTGCTTTTGGTTTTTCACCCCGTGAGGGGGTCGTGATTTTTCCCATAGAGGCAAGATCAGGAGTTTTTGGCAGTTGTGAGGAACGCACAAGTGCACGGTTCCCGGGTGGTATGCACACCCGCCAACCTACCAATGTTTCTGGGACCGGTGTAGAACGACCGAAGAACTAGGACCGAAACGAGCAGAAACTAGGACCGAAAACGCCTTAAAATGTGTTTTTTGTTTGTTTGTTTGTTTGTCTAAATCAACCCAAACCTGTTCGAAGGAACAAAAGTATTGTTCATGAGCATGCGCATTGTTTTTTCTCGTGAGTGCAGTGAGTGGGTGCACTTGAGAGGGTGCGCTTGCCATTCTGAAGGCGTGTGTGTGTGCGCAGTGCCGAGCGGGTGCACTTGATCCCCAGGACCAACATGATTTGGCCAGGCTTTCAAAATGAGCGAAAACTAGGACCAACATGATTTAGAAACTATGGCCAAGATCAGCGAGCTGGACCAACGTGAGAAGAAGCTAGGACCAAGAATGAGGGGGCTACCCGTTTGTGGGGTCCTCCTATTTGGGCGCAAGCCACGCCAAACCATGCTTGTTGCAAATCGGCAAATCGGGGAGGAGATCAAGGCGATTGAGCGGAAGGCAGCCAAGAGCTTCAACAATATGTTCAAAGCCATGGGCGACAAGCAGGCCAGTTGACGGATGTATTTTTTCCAATTTTCCCCTTTTCGTTTTTTTCTTCTTCTTTTATTTTTCTTCCTTTTTTTCTTCTCTCGGAGAAAAACAAGTCTGCGCTGTCTTGATGAGAAAGTTTAGCGTGTGTGGTTTCAGTTTGCTTCACCTTGCTTTGCCGAGCACGACGTCACGAAGCGGCTCGACATTTGTCCAGAGGGGTTGATTGCTGGGCAGACTCTCTCATCAGTTGGTCTTGCAGGCAAGTCGCACTCCGAATCAAGTTGTACCATCCTTTTCCCGGAGTCCAGTTGACTGAATCGAATGGAGCTCTGTGCTCTCCAGGTCTTTGGCGGTGGCAGGTTCTTGGCGGATGGCACATCACCGCCCCGGGCACTCACAGGCTGCTTCATGGCAGCCTCCCGAGTGCTGCTGGTGGCTTCCGTTCAAAGCCATTCAGCAGGGGACCCTCGCTTTTGGGCAACATTTTTGTGTTTGTCTTGTTTGGCTTTGCGTCTTATTTCTTTTTGGGGGGTATACCCTTTTTGGGTGTGTTTCGAGGGACATGGGCGGGACATTGCGTCTTTAATTTGTTGTAACCGTCTATTTAAAGACACATCCATATGGTTTGTCTCCAGATGGAAGATGGGGGGCCCTGCAAAAGATGGACGTGCGTTTTTTTTTGGTCGTAGGTTTTGCTTGTGTTTGCACTGTCAAGACAGGTACCAACTCACATCGGCAGAGCCACAATGTTAACCCAGGATGAATAATCTGGTTGATTAATAGGGGGTGTCCCCTTTTAGTGGGGATTCATCACTCTTGGAGGGAACACCCCCCTAATACTGGGACGGGTGTATTATTCCTGGGTCAGCATTATTGGCCATGGTGTTTAAAAGCATTCAAGGCCGGGCGTAGGGTGTAGCTTCGGGCTGAAAGCAGCTTCGCAGGTGCGGAAGAGAGGCAGCTGAAGCGGCTGAAGGCCAAAAAGCGGTCGTGGAGTCTGTCTGTGATTTTGAGGGTTTGCCCACCCCCCCCCCTTTTTTTTTGGCAGCCAAAGGACAATCCGACCATTTTGTGGGCCCATCAAAGAGAGACGCACTCGTATGATGGTTCTGGGTCAGGAGAGGGAGGAGTACCAAGCCGCAAAGTTCAAGCACGAACAGCAGCAGCGGCTCAAAGCCGGGCGCCGAGGGCGTTTGGAGCGGTGTACCTTTTTCAAGGTTTGTTGGGAGTGGCTTGAAGGGACGGCAAAAGGAAACCCACGCATTTGAGGCTTACCCTATTTTAAGACACACCCATATGCAGCTTGCACCTCTCAGGTTTCAAGCGCGACGTGAGTATTTAGGCTCGAAAGGGGTGAGGGATTGGACACGACCTGGACGCATTCGATGGGCACAGCCTGTTCAGATAGATGATGGTTTCGGCAGTGCCGCGATGCGGGCCGGTGGTTCCAAGAGGCCACCAAGCCCGAGGCCGGGTGACGGGAGCGGGAGTCTTGGCCGGCGGACTGGGCTTTGCCCGGGTTCCACGACTTCGACAACTTCGGCACCGTCGCAGTCGAGGCAACTTGGAGGAGCTGCGGGAGAAGAACGGGTTGCCCAATCTCGAGCTGTATCTTGGCAATTCGATCTTCTTTTTGACCAAGGCTTTGCTCGAACTTTTCGCAAGTTCGAAGTTCGAGCAAATCAGCTCCGGGGTTTTCGAAGTCCCCGCCATAGGGGGCTTCGGCTAGGTACGTGGCGGAGGATCCATCTCTGGCCGCCTGGATCTTCCAGGCGGCCGGCTTCGTTCTGGTGCCCGGAGCTGTCAGCGAGAAGTGCTGCCGCGAGCTGAAAATGGCCTGCGAGGAAGACGCTCGATGGGTTACCTTAGCGTGGGCGGGGCACCATTTTGTTTTTCTGCTTCAAAATGCGATCTTTCAGGTTGGTTGAAAGGGGAACCACATGGAAACCCAACTAATGCCTACTTTTGGAGTCCTAGACATGCCCGAATGACCCTCAATCAACCTAGAGTCTCCATGACCCTTAAGAAATGGGTCCATGCCCCCTAAATTTTGGGCAATGACCCCCATTTTTTGAGGGTCAGAAGGAGACTCCAGGCACAACTCATTTCCTGGATCGATCCGAATTTCTGTTTCCTGGCTCGATGGCGAAAGGAAGAGGCCAAGCTGCTGCAGCAGGATCCCCTGCGCCGCGGCAACCGCGGGAAGGGCAGATACTCGCTGGGCGAGGCGCAACGCACCGGACACTTGTTGCACCGAGATGAGTGGGCCGCCCTTATGGACCTCGAGAAGGCAGGAAGGCATACACACATCGGCTGGAGAGAAAGAAGGGGGGGTTCGAGAGAGGCAAAAAGGGTTGATTGGTGGGTCAACATGAAAAAAGCCACCGGGATTTGGACCGGTTGTAGTCCTTGGTTCTATTTACCAGTTCCATTTTGGATAGCCATGTTTGACCCACAGCCAACTCCTTTCCTTGAGGTGTCTCCAGTTCTGAAGCATATCTTTGGAGCGCATGGCTACGTTTGCGCGGGTGCCGGCGGGGACTTCGTTCTGCCGCGGATCGCAGAGTACCAGCCGTTGCACGTGGATCTGAACTTTCCGGACTGTCACACCAGGAAAGCGTCCCCAGTTGTCACGCTCAATGTGGCCGTCGAGCCCTTGACCTGGTTGAACGGTCCAACGCCGCTGTGCCGCAATGGGAGCCCTTGTCGAGATATGATTTGCTGTCGGAAGGGAAGTGGCGCCGGGCACGTATAGGTTCCCACTAGAATTACGGGTTGCCCACCAGAATCTCAGGGACACAATGAGCATGTGGAACGCTTTAGTGGAGATGGGCAGGTACAACCTTTTTGTTTGGAACCACCTGTTTTTGGGGCCCCACCATATGAGGAACGGGCAATATCTACTGTTTTCTGCTGTGCCACACGCGACATGGGGACACTCACCAAGCACCTATTAACCGTCTCTTGGTATCTCTTCCCGCTTGGACGGTTATCTCTTGAGCAAGGAAAAAACGCATAGAGGTTGCAGGACGTTTTTTGGATCCCGGTAGAACAGGAGACTCATTCCTGGAAAGCCCTGGCCGATTCGCGATGCCTCGCCTGAGACGCTCCAGGCGAATCATCCCGGGCACCCACGTCACGGAGCTCGCGGAGCTCCGGGAGCCGCAGGCCTGGCGCTACTTCACGCTGGCGCCCCTTCCGGCAGGCGGAAAAAGTTGTCTCAGCTCAAGCCGGGGGTTTTGGGGGGTTTTGGTGTCCACACTCGAGAAAAGACCGTGGGCGCGCCCTTTTTTTTTTTTTGAGGGTACCCTCTTTTTTGCTGGAAGTTTTGTTTTTTGATGAGGGTAGCCTCTTTTTTGTTTAAATGTTTGTGTTTTTTTGAGAGTACCCTCTTTTTTTGTTTGAAGTTTTGTTTTTGTTTGAGAGTACCCTCTTTTTTGTTTAGAGTTTGTTTGTATTTTTTGAGAGTATATACCCTCTTTGTTGTTTTAAGTTTAGTTTTTTTTTTTAGTACCCTCTTTTTAAAGAAGAAGGAAGCTAAACCGAAAACAGCACCATCGTGTGCAAGCCGCATTGTCAGGCACTGCGATCCTTCGCGACAATCGTGCCTGGCATGGCGGCACTCCCAACATGCACCGCGCTTATTTGGCTAGAAACTAAGAGTCGGAACCACTAGTGGTCGGTGGACCGTCTTTTCGCATGTCCGCCCCGTTGGGTCCCCAAGAATGATTGATACCCATATACAGCTTTGTTGGATTGGGTGGAACAACATTCTATGACCCTGCATAAGGCGGCATAATTTGAAAGGGTTCAAAAGGTGTGAAAACATTTGGGAACTTTTTGGCTGTCCATAGCCGCAACCGACGAAAACCCCAAGGTCAGCCGAAACTCGATTTCTGCCGAACGTGGAGTTTGCCGCCACATGGTGGTGCCAGGGTTCGACGGATCATCTTTGGCGGAATCCCTGGAAGTTGGCGCCGCGATGTATGCCTTACGACCTTTGGAGCAGGCTTGCGCTTGAGCAAGGATTTGGGTTTCGGAGCATTGTTTGGCAACGTAATGAAATCATGGTTGCCTGCCCGCTTCTTCAAAAGTACCCTGTTTTGGGTCGCTTTACAGTGAAGCCCAAAGGGTGACCACACCATTTCAGGGTTTCCGTGTTTCAAGACAAGCCATTTGCCACAAGCTCAAGGCGGGTAGAGGCGCCCACATATGTCTGAAACGTTGGCGAGAGGTTTTTCAGATGAACCGAAAGGACAAAGGACACCAATTGGACACCCCTATGTTACTGATTTTGTTGGAAATCATTGGGGCTTTGAGGGGTCCAGTATCTTCCCAAAGAGAATCGACCTTTGGATGCTCACCTCGGGTTGCCAGTCTCTTCCGCCCGGCAATGACTCCTTTGCCGGGCGACTGTTCATTGTAATTCCAGCTTTGTTATTTTTGTTTCTCCGTTTTTTCACCGTGGATTCCCACGGGGGGTCCCCCATTTTTGCACAGACCTGCTTGAATAATTACCATCTTTCAGAAGTCGTGTGAATTGGACTCACGGATCCGGGTGCAGATTCCTAGCGTCCCAAACCGAGTTTTTGGGCCTTTTCCTCTGTCCCTGGCCGCGAGCTCTACCAGCCAGGCTTTCGCCCTTCGGCCAGCACATCTGCAGGCGATGGCGGGCGCTCGTCTTCTTTTTGGTTGCCTTTTTCGGGTTGGTTAGAACGCCATTTTGGGGGTCTCCAGATTTGAAGACCCATATGATATGGCTGTGGTGGTCATTTGACCGTTTTGGGATCCCATTTTGGGGGATTGGGGTAGATGCACCACCCATTTTAGAACCTATTTGAGTGGTGAAATTGGGATGTTTTATTTGGGGCAAACCGGGATTTTGACCAATGGCCATTATTCTATTCTTGAGGCCATCAGGAAGGACATAACCGGAACTTCAGTTGTGGGTGTTGGTCAGCCTTGGAGGCTCGTCGTCACGAAGGCGTCCTTGAGCTATGGACTACGAGACGCATTCTTGAGGGGGTAGCCAAGACTGCCTCTCGACGAGAGCGCCGCTCTGACCATGAGGCCATTTAAGCGGATGGCGGCTAATTCTACTTCATGACGACATCCGAATGGGAACGCTGACGGGGTTGGCGGTTTGCTTGTCCCTCCGCAAGGCCAAGACGAAGCGCTCGTTTTGAAACGAAGCTCTTGTGATGGTCCATGCTTTGACGGATAAAACGTTTGGATCGGCGGCCAGAGCTTTGCTTCTTTTGGCCCAGCTTGATCGAGATCAAGAGGAAGCCTCATGGAACTTCGGCGTCACTCATCGCATTCCTGGAGCTGGATTTGACTCCGAAGTAAACATGAAGCAGTGAGGCAGATCGACGTCGGTTCACAGCTGCTTCATCAGAAATGCAGTGCAGGGTTTAGGGTCAAGAGTGCAGCAAGGGCAGGAATCCACTGAACGATCGAAATGGGGCTTCTTTGGACTGATTCACTTGCATGCGATACCTGGCTCAAGGATTATAGTGAGGTCTACAGACTAAACCCTTAGAACCATACCAGCAGAGCCAACCGTCATCTTGGGCTTTGAGCGCTCACTCGCTCAGGAAGGCAAGCCGCTCATCGAGGCTCCCAAGGAGCCGCCCATGCCCACTCCCAACAGGACCGAACCGGGCCTGATTCGAGCTGAGGAATTGGGTGGGCAGTAGCAACAAGTTGTTTTTTGTACGTGACAAGGGGTGTGTTCTGCACGAAACCCATACGAAGATCGGGGTACACTCAGAGAAAGGTTCTCAAACAGTGCATAGCCAAACGGATCTTGCAACCGCTATGATACCACGGCACCACTACACTTACAAGCTGACACACTGGGACGCCTGGAATTTCATGATCCTTAGCGACCATCGCCCAGTATCTACCTGAAACGTGGCCGTGGAACATGGGGCAAGCCCAGTCCATGCTTCGAATTTGCTGACTTTGCTTAGGTGTGAGAGTGGGTGTGGTGAAGTGCCAGTTTTCTGACCAGTCAGATCCCGTCCCGCAGGCCACCACCGGGATATCGATCTGGTGAGAGGACAAGGCGGTCCTCTCGGGGGTTTTGCGTGGCGGTATGTGGGTAGGCCTTCTCTTGAGGGTTTTCCCAGTTTTTGTTTCGGGTTAAAGGAAGCTAGGGGAATGCAATGCTGCAAACTCTTGAACGGGAAAACACCGTTGAATGGGTCCACAAGCCCAGCTGAGCGCCGAAAAGCCCTGCTTGGCCGGCTTAGTAGGTGGTCCTACCCGGTTCAATGGGTGTTATAGGGCTCACAAAAGCCTTATGTGACCATCGATCCAGGAATGAGTCTGGGGTTTTGGCCAGGACCCTCACCAAGGCGCAGGCTCAGCAGCTTTTGGAGGAGTCGGGTATGCGAAACGCATGCGCCGCGATACGCGCAACGCGAGCTGGGAGCTAGCGGATTTGTGGAGGATACCCAGGGGATGGATTTGGCATTTTTGACATTTTTGGAACCCCCTTGTTTAGCAACCGGATCCGAACAGGCTGGCGGAAGGGGTTGCCCTTTGTTCACTATGACTCCAACGGGATCAGCATCCGGCGCCCATTGTTTTGGGCACCTGGCACGGAGCTCTGAGAGATTTTTCTGGGACACGTCAGAGGCTCACAGCACAGCTTTCACAGTGGCACATCCAGTCAGGTGAGTTCAAGAACTAGCATGCCACCTTGTTTTCAAAGACACCCGCACTCGGAAGACTTGGAAGATGGCACCAAGCAGCTGCTTGGTTGCAGCTTCCGGTCACCGAGTGCGGATTGGCCGATGCTTTGCCAAGGCGACGTCGCTTTCCAGTATGGAGCAGGCAGGTTTCGCCTGGTGATCTTATTCTCCTTTCGCTTGGCATGTTTGAAGGACGGACAGTGTGCGATTCACGCAGTGTTTACAGACTGGCTGCTTGGTTAATTCCAATAATACTGGTTCAGAGGCAAAGGGGAGGCGCGGCAGGGTTATGCTCAGTTTTGCCTGGTGACCCCCAATAGTAGGTTGCGATGGTTGCTCCACAAGATGACAAATGGATGTTCCCCGTATTTTTTGGATTCCTGCGGCTTTGCGCCCAGTGGTGTCTACCTCGCTTTTGCGAGGCGGGAAGGGCAAAGGCTTGAGCGAGGGAAAGCGCCTGCTGAGCCAACCCCGCGGCCTGCACGTGGATGATGTCAGCGCCTTAGGCGGACTTAGGCGTCCCACAGCAAGTCTTGAGCCGGCATGAGGAGTTTGGTGTTACCACCAGGCAAATGCAATGGGGAACAAGCGGTAGAGGTAGATTTCTGTTTTTGCGAGGATCCCTTTTTGGGGCTGCTTCCAGCCCTAGTCAGTACTACCAATGCCGCAGCGGTTATTGGACAAGTCGGGCAAGCCAACCTAACGGAAACCGCGCTTTCTTTGGTGAGACTCATCACTTTTGTTTTTTTGAGACAACCCCAGTGCCCTGTCACCTCACCTTACTTGTCCCAATATCTAGGGGTATCCCATTCTGTCCAGGGATCCTCCTTTCCAGAAAACCCTCAGAAACCAGGGAAAACACAGGTTTTTGAAAAGAATGAAAAGAATGGGGAGACAACCCCTAGAATCATTCCAGGATGGCACTTTGTACGTGGCGGACTTCACGAACTTCTGCGTGGTGAGATTCGGCGCCGGAGATGCTGCGGGCAAGGTGGTGGCTGGGGAAGAAGCGAAGCAGCTCATGGACGTGGACTACCTCAAGGAGGGGCGAAGGGTCGTCCAGGGCGCAAACAGGCAAGGCAGGGAGGGCAGGCAACCAACCACCATGTGGGCCAGCAAGACTGCAGAAACAGAGCTGGCACTGGTAAGGCGCTGGTGTATTTTGGTTGCAGTGGTTCATTTGGTGGCGTTTTACAAATTTTCGCCACTGGTTTTTTAGACCATGCCGCCCTTTTTGTTTCCCGTCCCATCTTTTAGGACCCTCCCCCTTTCCCTTCTTGGTTCAGCAATGAGGTAATTAAGACTAACGAAACACCCCGCCTCGTGTGATGACCCATCTCGAAACAAATCGCGACAGGACATCGATAAACCGCTGAGACCTGCGGATGGCGAAGGCTTCCTGCTGAAGAATCCCGTGGATGTGGTCCGGGATGCGCCGGGCCCACGGCGTCGAAACATCCTCAAGAAACGCCTAGGGGGTGGGACTGGGGCTAAAGAGGTGGGGGGGGACTGAGAGAAACCAGCCATAAGGGGTCGTTTGGGCTTTCATGCGGGCAGATGCTAAAGGTGCCGTGGAACTGGTTGCAAACGGCGAATTCTCAAAGTGCAGGCGGATGGCGTAGCGGCCTTGTTTCTGTTGGACAAGCTCCTGGATTTCCTAGCATGGCTACCCACAATTCCTGTACATACAACCTCGCACCAGCTTTTTTGCTTGATTTGGTCCACCCGGATTTGTGGGCCGCTGAGGGATGGTGCCTTGCTGGTCTTGGACTGCCCAATGGCCCGCGTGCAGCGCTTCGAGTTGTTAGGCCCAGGGCGTGTGCCGAAACGAGCCGAAAGCGGAACTCATTGCGCTTGGTCCTCGTGGTGGGTGTATTTTGTAAGGAAAGGTACCCATTGGATGGTTGTTTGGAAGGGAAACCAGAGTTAAACCACCAGAGTTAGACGTGATTTGGCATGCATGTCTTGGTCCCAGGAACGTTTTCCCTTTCGGATGGTTTTCGAGGGAAGCCAAAGAGACGCTAGGCATAGGGTTCTCTACCCGTGTGTCCAAGGGATGGCATACAGCTTCGCCCGCCACATGAGAAGACATCAGGTGACAAATCAGCGGCCGGCAGCGTGGTTTTTCCACCCCCGAGAGGTCCGCTGGTCTTGGGCTCAGTCGCCTTTTTTTGCTCGGGATCCCTCACAGTGTTGGATCCAAAGTGGCTTTTCTTTGTTTCAAAACATAGGTTTTATTTACATCCAACAAGTGTCACCAAAGGATCAGTCTATTGTTTGATGCGTCCAAGGGACAACACTCAAAAGGAAGCCATCAAGCCCTGGAGGTGGTTGCATTTTTTAAGGTGAATGCTCACTCCTGGGACGTGCTGTGTGGCCATGACATTGCAGGTCAGCTTGGGCTTAGTTAGAAACCCCTCACGTGGGATTCAAGGCAACTGTTTTGAATGGGTTCTTGTAGTATCAAAAGAAACGTGGGCCGCCTGGTTGGGAGTGAGGTGAGATCCTCGGCAGTGCCTGAAGCGATCAAGCAGCAGCCTCAGGTATGCCGAGCGAGCAGGGCGTGCCTTTTTGTCGACGTTTCTTTTTGGGTGGACACCAGAGGGGAAAACAATCAAAAGAGGCTTCACTGGATTCTTGTTTGGGGGCACTGGTTCCCTCCTCCCCAAAGAAGCCAGGACAATCGGTGCTCAGGCATCCCCGGTCTATGCTTCAACACAACGGTGGCATGGTGATTTGCGACACCTGGAGCCGCTGGGCATGGGTTGGTAGGTGTCAACAACCCTCTGGAAGGAATGGTAGACCAGGAGTTTCTCCAATGGTGGCCCCTTTTTGGTATTTCAAGGGAAACCCAAGGTAGAACCGGGCAGCCATTTTAGCCCCCCCAGGCACCTCAAAAAGCCATTCACGTTCTCGGTGCCAAAGCGCGATGATCATCAGATTCAGACCAAATGTTTGGTGCGCTGAACATGGCCAGATAGCCCCTGTGTTTTGGCCCAAAACCCAGCCTTTGAATGCCGAGACGAACCCCTGAAATGCTGAAACCGAAGCTCTGCTTGCCCGACAATATCTAAATCTAAACCCTGAGAAAGCCCAACCTCCTAACGTCTGCCTGCAGATTGTGTAGCGTCTCGCACTCACCACACGCGGAACCTGCAAAGGTTTGCAGATGCAGCGTGCAACTTTTTGACGGGTGGCCTTTTAGTGGTTTGAAGGGAAACCAAAAGTTGGGTTCCGCTGTTTTGACACATACCATACCAATCCTTGCAATCTGCCTGTTCACCAATGAACTAAAACACACTAGACAGATTGACAGACCGACCGACCGACCGACCGACTGACCGACAGACAGACAGACGAACGACAGCGATCTGTCAGAGTTCAGGTTGTTGTTCTAGGAATCTTTTGAGGGAGGCTGTTTTGCTTGGGCTGAAATTGAGGTTCAAAGAGGTGCGGATGCCCGTGAGAGGTCATTTTTGCAGGATTTTTTTGCGTGGGGTAATTTTTAGGAGACCATCTTGGCGAAAAAACAGCCTTTCGGGGGACCCGATTCGACGCATGGCTGACACCGAGGCCACCGGGTGCTTTTCTATGGCGATGAAGCGAGTCCAGAGGTGTTGGCCGGTACAGCGAACTCCTGTGAGCCCGGCGCGTTTGATCAAACGCGAAAATGGCTCGATGTTTGCTTCCCTTCTTTTGAGGTTTAGGACACCCCATACAAGCCTTACATATTGTTGCGGCGTTTTTTTTTTGCCCTTGGAATGGTTTTTTGCCCTTGGACACATTTTGGGGTGTCTATTTGCAGACACACACCCAAAGTATGATGTCCAACGGCTCCGAATGGGGGGAGGGGGGACGATGTCCACGTTGCCAACGGCGCCCTAAAAACGGTCCCGACCATCAGAATGGATGAGCTAGGATCGGGATGGTCAGCTGTTTGTTGCAGGCAATGATTTTTATGGATGAGGTGATGAGGTGATGACAAAATACTGGGTCTGGGTCTTGTCAGGTCTGGGTCTTGGTTGGCACGAGTTCTGACCATGGGCCTCTTGATTGGTCTCACCAAAAGACCATGCAAAAGCCTCGGCACAGTTGAAGCTGACCACAAAAACGGGACGCCTAATATATGTGTGGCCCGACACTGGGCCTGAAGCTCTGCTCGAAATGTCGACCGGAAAAGACTGTTGGGCGGGCGTACAGGAAATTCCCCCATGCAGATGACGCAAATCGCAAGGTCCAAGTAATAAACTCACAAATGACGTCTCTTTTAGATATCACACTCCCGCGCGTGCCCGCCCGGCCGGCTCCAACACACACACACACACCCAACTATATGGGTTTGGAGCCTCAAAGGGCAAGCCCATTTTTGATCACACGCACCCCGGGGTTTCTGAAAGTGGCCGTCCCAGACGGTTCCCCTCAAATATCAACAGAAAGGGGGGGGGGCCTGCCAATATTGAGAAACGCCCATTTGCGTGTCTGCTTTTTGAGGATACCTTACTTGAGGGACTCCTTGAATGGAACACATTTTTGGGGTCCATTCTGAGAAGCACCCCATTTCAGTCACAGCCCCAACCCCCAAGTGAATTTCATGGGAATACTTCATTGGCCCTATTTTGGTTGGTAGTTGATGTTTAAAAAATCCCTCTCGAACAAGAAAGGGAAGAAACCCACTGGCCCAAGATCAAGGCAATACGGCCATTTGAGCCCCGCAGAGGTGGCAGCTCCTCCTCCCAGCTGAACTTCCCCAGCGGCTGCGCGTTTCTGTCCGACGGCTCCTTGCTGGTGACGTGGCAGGTCAAAGCGTGGGTTTTCGCGTGTCGCAAAACGACGCCATGTCATACTGATTTGTACACAGTCGACTGGGTGTGTAGATTTGTTGGGGTGGTGTTGCGTACCCTTTTCAGGTCGGCATTTGTTTGGGTTCAAACCTGAGCCGGAAGCCAAACAGGGACGCCAACCCACAATGATTTCTCCATATGGCTGTGGGTCAAAATTAGGCCACCAGGAATCGGACCGCAGGTTTTAGTCTTTGGTTCCATTTACCAGGGTTCCATTTTGGGTACCAGTTTTTGACCCACAGCCATACTTTCCCTTTGGAGCATGCCAGAAGAGGGAATCGAGCAGTTAAAGCGGATTCGTGTTGAAGGCTTGGGGACAGTCCCCACCAGATAGGGTTGCAGGAGCGGCGAAGTCTGGCAAAGTGTTTGGTCTGGAAATCACCGTGTAGCGCTATGGGGAGGCGTTTGAAACGGAAAGGGAACCGCAAACATGGCAGCGGTTCCCATTCAAGTTGGCTCCTCCAAAAAGACGCAGGTTGAAAGCCACCTTCAGCACGTCCGGGCCGAGGTAGCGGATACGAACAATCATCGCATACAGCGCTTCCTGCCGGGAGAGCTCTCAGGCGGGCCGAACTAGATTAGTCACTGACAAAAGTAACGATGTTGGTATTGTAGGTTTGGGGAGGACATGGGCCGCCAGCCGGATCTGCAAGAAAACGTAACATGTACCTTCCACAGAGCATCTGCCAGTCAGAATCCCTTTACGCATCGATGGAACGACGACCAAGCCAAATACATCTCATTCTGACTGCGACTGACAATGTTTTTCTTGGCTGTTCCAGGGTTAGTAGGTAACCAGGTATGGCAACCTCTAGGTTTTACATCTCTAGGTTTCCCCTGGTTTCCCAACAAAAATGGCGAAACGCATGGCGCGGCTGCGCCAGGGCAGACGGTCGCTGGCTCGCCAGAAGGAAAACCTGGAGATGGCCTATCCGAGCTTCAAATGCCCACAGGCGACGCCGCCACGTTGCGGGCCGCCAAGTCATTGAGGGGTGTGTCATTTTTGGAGGGTGCCCCCTTTTGGTTGGTTGCTGTGAGTGACGCACACCCGACCATGACATTTGGCTCAAGAAAAAAGTGTGCGGCGCTGAGCTGTACATTTGGACCCCTTTTTGGTTTTTGTGTTTCGTAGGTTATGAGCCCAAAGGAGCTCTGATGGACCTGCTTCGTCGAAGGCGGCCCGCTATCGGAGCTGGAGGTCACGCGGGAGGGCAAGGTGATCTTCCAGAAGGTCGACAAGGGCAAGACTTGTTGGTCCAGGCGGGCGAGACGGCGGACCAGGCCTTGGATAGGCTGATCGTGGAGGACCTAAGGTGCGAAGCTCTCCGGAGATCGAGATCGGTGCCGCTGCCAGCTTCGGGACCGGAACTTAGGAGGGCTGACCGATGCTGGAGATAGGACCGCGAGGATGGTGAGCGCGGGATCGCGTGATGGGGTACCTCCACCCCCAGGGATTGTTCAAGGGCCAGGAGGTCAGGGCGCTCCAGGGCGGGTGGCGAATCCGGTGGAAGAACCCAGACCTGGTTGCAGGACGCCGATGTTGTTTTAGTACGCACAAGGTGATGGTCAAGACAAAACGCTGGCGCAAGAGTGGTGGTTTGGCAGCGCCCTTCAAGGAAGTGAGGTTGCTAGGACCCAGCCCAACTATGATGTGGGGTGGTCCAGACCGCGGATGGCAATGTTCAACATGCGCGAGCGGCGATTTTGCCAGAACCGCTGGCTGACCGAGCCATGTACGAGCTCACTATAGACCCGAACCCTGGTAAACCATGGAGGAGATGTCGAGGCAAGCAAAGCCTCGAGCTGGGGGGAGTTCCTCGCCTAGGAGATGCAGAGGGTGGGGCAGGACAAGGAGAACCCGCTCTACGACTTCTGCGAGCGGGGGGGGAGTACGGAGATGATGATGAAAAAGTTCAAGCGGAAATGGCGCTGCCTACGTGCGGTGGTTGGAACCCGGAAACATCAATCTGGAGGTCGTCATGGCCGCTGAATTGGGATGTGGAGGAATACCGGGAAGCCCTGGGAGAAAGATATTGGAAGTGCAGAAGGCACTATGGAGAGGAGCTGAAACGGGTTTCTCTGCATGAGGACGGAGGTGCGGCGCAGGCCATTGTCATGGATTATCTCTCCAAAGAGCTGTCGCAGGCAGAGGAAGAGCTTGAATTCTTTAGGGATCAGGAGATGGAGGGCGTCAGTCGGTTGTGCTCCATGCAGGCGGCAGGCCCGGGGGAGATGGAGAAGGTGCTGCAGACGTACACGGTCCCACTGAGCTCAGTTCGACAGGACTTGGAAATGTGGAGGCCGGCTATGGAAGAGGAGTACCAAGCGATCACCGAGATGTCAGGGTTGTGGAGAAGGTGCATGAAGACGACCTGGCCAACATCCCGGGCATCGAGGATGCGGAATATGGCCCGGCCAAGCTGGTCACCACGATCAAGGCCCCTCATGGTCGGCACCGTGCTCGAGTGGTCATCTGCGGGAACATGCTCGCAGCTATGAACGGCGAGAAGGAGCAGACGCCCGTAGATAAGAAGGACAATTACGCTTCGGGCGTAGACGGAACAGCGATCAGGTGTGTCTTGCGGAAGGCGGCGCACGAGAAGTGGGGTGGGGGATTGCGGCGGTGGACGTGAAGGGCGCCTTCCTCCTAGCGCCAAGAAAGGAGACGAGAAGGACGTTAATTACACGGCCTCCTCAGATTCTCCTGCAAGCCGGGCTATGTGGCCCAAAGGAAAGGTGGTGGGTAAAGGGGGCGATGTATGGACTGGATAGCTCTCCGGCAGATTGGGCGGCTTTCCGGGACGCATCCCTGAAGAATTTCACTTGGCAGAATGGTGGTGCCCACTACTCGTTGACATCAACCTCGGAGTCAAATCTGTGGTCGTGGTGGAGAAGAAGAACGGCGGCAAGAGTGGCAAGGTCGTGGGCCACTTGGTGGTCTACGTGGACGACATGATGGTTTGTGGACCTGACAGTGTAGTTCAAGGATGCCTAGACCGCATTGCCAGGGAATGGTCCTGTAGCCAGCCGGAGTGGGTTAGCTTGGAGAAGTGGATCAAGTTCTGCGGCTTCGAGCTCCGATGGGGTGAACGGGGACTTCTTCTAGGGCAGCCTTCCTACATTGGGGAACTTGCTCAACGACATGGAGTTCGCCAGTCCCGTTCTCCAAGCCGGAGGTGCCGGAAGGCGTAGATGTGAATGCAGAGGACGTTAAGAAGGCGCAAGGGAGCTTCTGTGGCTTTCAGTTAGGACAAGGCCTGACATCTCCTTCGGGGTTGCTTGGATGGCGCAGCACATCACCAAGTGCCCTCAGCTGGTGGTAAAGGCAGCGGAAGAGATGGTTGGCTACCTGCTGGGTACGCAGTCACTAGGACTGAGCTTTGAAAGGTGTGAACCGCATCGAGCTCTACGCGGATGTGTCTTACGCACTGGTGGAGGTCGGAGTCATCAAGGGGTGATGGCATGCTATGGGGGGTCATTGGTGCAGTGGCTTTCTGTGAGGCAGGCGTTCACCACCTTGAGCACGGCGGAAGCTGAGTTGGTCGGCTACTTGGAGGCCATGACGATGGGCCAGTCGGTAGCGGTTGTGCTGGGCATCCTGGAGGACGGGGCTTGGGACAACATTCTCGTCGATGTGGCCCAGCGACAGGAATCGGTCTATCGAGACCTAATTCAACATGGAGAAAGACTATGTGAAGGAGAGGTTCAAGACGTGGATGTTCTCCTGGAGGAGGAACAAGGAGATTATGAAGATGAGAAGAAGCAACTGCCGGCGGGATTTCGTGAAGGCGCGGGTGTCCGTTGTGGCAATGATCGGGAGAGGGTTCAAGCCGGTTGAGACTCTGGTGAGGGTCGAGGCGGGGACTTCGTGGTGTACGGGGACAACTCGTGTCCCATCACGATCATCGGGAGTGCTGACGGACCATGGCGCACTCGTCATCTTCGCCTACGTGCCGAAGAACTTAGAGAAAAAGTAAAGGGTGGACGATGGGCTGTTCGGCATCTACCGGGCACGAGGCTGGTTGCGGATCATCTCACGAAAGCTATGACGGCAAAGGCTCAATGGCCTAAGTTCTACGAGCTGGCCGGGATGGTCAAGGTAGACTTGGAGAAGGATCGGCGTCGGGAAAGTGTTCGACGGAGAATCTGAACAAGCTGAAGTTGGCAGGACTGGGCTTGATCATGGGCAAGGTAGCCTGTTGGAGTCCGGAGAGCTGGGAGGAGAAGGAGGCTAAGACCCTCTGCCTAGCGGCTCTAGGAGTAGGTGTTGCTTATGTGGCCACCCAGATCAATCGGGGCCACAGTGTCAAGAAGTTCACAAAAGAAGGAAGAAGATCCCCTAGGGAAAATGAACAGGGGCAGGGGAAATGTCCAGGTCCCTGAACCGGACACCCCAACATGGGAAAGACCTAGGGTCCCTGAACCAGGTCCCCCAGCGGAGAACTCAAGGGAATATGAACCTGAGTTCTCGAACAAGATGCCTAGGGAAGATGAACCAGGCGCAAGAATGGCCAGAATAGGTCGAGTTTTTGGGGCCGGGGTAAGGGACTGGGAATCCGATGAAGGTACGTTTTTCCCCTCAACGTTCAACCACTGCCCCAACAACTGCCCTGTAGAAGCTGAGGTTTTGTTAATCCGCAGCCATGGCTCTTGGATGGTGGTGGAAAGCTGTTCGGAGGGGTGGAGAAGCCATCGGTGGAAGAGGAACCGGAGGACTTGTGGGACGTGCAGACAGGGGAATCGGAGATCGTTTTGACGCGAGTCCACATGTTGTCCCGGCACCGGGACTACCAACCTCAAGCACTGGACTTGCCACCGGGTGTTTCTCTGGAACGGTTGGAACAGAGACGGCAGACAAGCGTAGTGTACGAGGACGTGAACATGGGGAGGAGGCTCATCAATGACCGGTGGACAGAGGATAACTTCGGGTTTCGCGGAGCATGGAGAGGGGCAACGACGCTCTGGATGCCACTGCGGCGGGAGACGGCTGTGGCAAGGGCATCGGAGCATCCAAGGCAGGTTCGGCCCCGTCTACAAGCTCTGCGAGTTCCGGAGGTATGTGTTCTACCATCTGGCGAGATGACGCGGGTGGAGGATTGCCTGGACATGGTTGGAATCCATCAATGGATGATGAGCGAGAAGACCACTGGGAGGTGCAATTCCGGGAAGATGGTTTGGTGGTGGCCACGAGGGTGCACGAGGTGGAGAGGATTCGATCCTATCAACCCGAGCGTCGAGATCGTTTATCAACCCGGTGAACAACCGTGAGGAAGCTCAGCGCGGGGTGTGGACCCATGTCGTCGAGGACAACTGGAAGCGTGACGTCTGGCTTAGAGAAGGCTGGGTTGGAAGTTCGCGATTCTGGGTGAGACCGAGGCGGCGGATTGTGGTGCTTCAGTCTGGCCGACCCCTCTCGGACCAAGAGAAGCAAGACGAGATGGATGACGATGGAGCTGGAGAGTCGGGTACCTTTGGGCCGTCGTCGTCAACAGCAATTGCAACCTCGGCTGGATCAACAATCAGAGCAGCGAGCGCAACGGCTGGTGGAGATCAGAAGAGGCCAAGGAACACCAAGAGGACAAGGAGGTCCAGTGGCGGCGAGGCTGGAGAGATCATCGGAGGCTTCCTCAAGGGAACAATAGTCTTGGCGGTGTTCTTCGGCATGATCAATGGAGCGGGAGCTCACGGCCCGGATATTTTGGAGGAGGACCAGTTGCTGGTGTGGATGATGATCGCGATTTGATTTTGGGAACTTCTGAGGCGTTGTTCCTATGGCAGGGGGGTATCTCCGGTCAAGGTGGAACTAGGAGTCAGAAAAAGGGAAAATTCAAGATCAAGACCCCAAGGAAGCAAAGGGCTCCCATCAAGAGACGTCCCCGGAAAGGGCTAGGGGCAGCCCGCAAGAGACTAAGAGGGGTTTCCCGGGGAGCTCTAAACAAGAAGTGAAGTATCAAGATCCGCATGAAGAGGCCGAAGGGCCCACTGAAAGCGGCTCCACAAACGGACAGGACTTGGACAGACAGGACAGTCAGCCTGAACCCAGGAGTCTCACCAACAGCCTGTCGAGGCTCCATGGTAGAGAAGTAGCTTGAAGGACCATCGGAGCCCATGGACGCTTGCAGGCTGTCATGGTGCCGGTGGGTACCCTTGATGACCCTGCTCGGAGGAGGTATTTCAAGAATATGGCGGAGCAGTCTTGGAGGAGGCACTGCTTCTTGGAACGGAGAGAGGAGGTTGAACGCGGAGGTGGATTCAAGGGGCCGGGAGAATTCAGGCTTCATCCCTTGGAGCCGACACCACCTATGCCGCTGGCTATGTGGCCTCATGGAGATGCCGCGGAACCTGGCAGCGATTTTGGCCGGGGAAGCCAAGAAGGAGGATCTTCGTCAAGTGCGGTGCGAAGGGCAAACGCGGCGGGACCGGTTCACATGACCAGCATCAACCCGGTGCAGATCGGCGACACTATTTTGCAGATCAGCAAGCACCGTGGGAAGACCTACGACCAGATCGCCAGTGATCATCCAAACTTTGTTCGCTGGGCGATAAGCACCGCGGCCGTCCAAGATGTGGATCCGCGGCTTGCGCATTTTGTCAACTGGGCGTTAGGCTCAGGTTAGAAGTTTCTGTAAAAAACAGCAAGGGGGAGTGTGAGTGACGCACACCCGACCGTGACATTTGGCTCAAGAAAAAAGTGTGCGGCGCTGAGCTGTGCATTTGGACCCCTTTTTGGTTTTTGTGTTTCGTAGTTTCAAAGGGAAAGCAAAAGGAAAACACATCAATTTTCTGGGTCCCTGAAAGAAAGACCCCCCAGACTCAAATGCCCAGTGGACAAAATCCATCGGCACCAATGGATGAAACCAAAAAATGGTTCAGCCAATGCCAACTGGTGCCACTCGATTTGTAGGGAGTTTGTCCATCAGCAGGGCGTAGTTCCAAAACAGAGCTCACTTGAACAATTGGCCACCAAAAGAGGAAACACATAAAGCCGCCCTTTAAAACATACGGGGAGCCTTTCATGTTGGACCTGCCGGCGAGGCATTGTGGTTGAAGCGGACGACTGCTTCCTGGTGGCTGACCGCGCCAATGCCCGGGTCATGCGCTTCCGTGCAGGCGGCTTTTGTGAGCCAAAAATACATGGGGTCCAATAGACCCAAGTAGGAAACGCTCACCTTGTGGGTGTCTTATCTTTTGTTTTCCCTTATGGAAGCCAAAAACGGAGGGGTGGGGGGGGGTTCTCGTGTTTGGACACCAGGCTTGTTTTTGTTCCGAGAAGCCCTGTGGCGCTGCTGCGAGACACGGTGTAGGAGTGGTTCTCCAAATGGACTCAGATTGGAAGTTAAAAGGAAGCAGAAGGAAACCTCTCTCTCTCTCTCTTTCTCTCTGTCTCTCTCTTTTTCTCTTCCTGATCATTTTTTTTTTCTCTCTCTCTCTCTCTCCCCCTCTCTTTTCTCTCGTCTCTCTCTCCTATTTGTCTCTCTCGTTTTTCTGTCTTGCTCTTTCTCTCTCTCTCTCTTTTTCTCGCTCTCTCGCTCTCTCTTTTTCTCTTCCTCTTTCCCTCTCTCTCTCCTTCTCTCCTTTTCTCTCACCTCTCCTATTATTCGCCCTCGCTCTCTCACTCCCTTTTCTTTTCCTTTTTTTTTGCTTTTTCTTTTTTTCTCTCTCTCTCTCTCTCTGTCTGTCCCAAAGAGACAACATTATTGACAGCGTTTGGTTGGGCAGGAGATCGGGTTCAAGATCGCAGGACATGGCTAAACATTATGTTCATGTAAATGTGGACGGCGTGCCCCAATTAAACTACCCAAAGCAAGCCGTAGCGCACAACACGGTGCAGAGGAGTCACAGGAGTGAGGAGGTCAACATGCAGATCAGTTGAACTGGCCTTGTCGGGAGCACATATCGGCGAATAGCTCTCAAAACCACCACCGGACCCAAAGTTGCAGTTGACCAAACAGTTGAGGACCAAATGCTTCATGGCTTTATGGAAGGCTGCAGTATTCATCAGCTCGATCCACCTAGATTGCTGGTAAGTTATTCCATGCAGGTTGATCTCCGAGCTTTGTGCTGGAATTCGCCCCGCGGGCCTGAAGAATTGCCTGGGAGGGGTCATGGAAAAGCGAATTGGGCAGCAGTAGAGGCGGCCACCTGTTGATTCCGCAACGCGGCGCGCTGCGCCTTTTTGAAGGCAACGCCGGCGAGGTCGTCGCCGGGCCGGACCTCCTGGAGCGACCGCAGCTTGGAGCTGTGGGCGTTTTGAAGTTCTGCCCGAATTTTGGGGGCCGTCGCTCACCATGCAGATAGAATGGCCCGAGAATGGCTTGAGTTTAGCAGGGAACACCATCACAGATGGAAACCTAAGTCCCCATGTAATATACATACATATATACACATATATATATATATATACTAATATATGAATAATATATATATATATATACATATATATATATATATATATACATATATATATATATGTATGTGTATGTGTGTGCATTCGACCAGAGTGTGCTCAATTGAGACTCATGCCTGTTTTGTGAGTCTCCAAGCAACAGCACTTGGGCACTTGCTCGCTGAGGTGGGGTTTGGCGCTGGGCAAGGACGGCTCCATCTTTGTGTCCGATGAGCGTCGTGCAGTGGTGTCTCGAATTGTTGCAATTCGAGAAGCAAATTCACTTCGCATGCCCCCGCAGAGTTTCCCAATCCCCTCCCCCCCAAAAAAAAGAGGAACAGAAGAAGAAGCAAACACAAATAGGTTGCGTCTTACGGACATCTACTTGGGTTTTCCAAGTCTGAGCAAAAACGACAGTGACAGTTCGCCCGTTCGACACTGCAGACCATGTTCTCATCTCCCAAATTGGCTGGCTTCCTCTTTTCCCTTTAACCATCAAACAGGGAGTCCCTCGTACCCCTTCCAAGGTTCTGAAGCTGGCGCCCACAACACCGGCAAAAGGGGCTGTGCAAACGGCGCCTGGGCATGCGAAGGCACGCCCGAGTGGCGGGTATCCAGCCACTCGGCGGCTTTGGACAGGTTTTAGCAAAACATGACAGTTTGTTTGCCAAACTCATGAGGGATGGAAGATCAATGTGACTTGGCCTAATCTGGCAGCTTGCAAGGATGCTATGAGCCTGGACTGAGCAGACAGTCGGGCTAGTCTCCTGCATGACTGAATGCTTTGCATGCTGTTTCACTGCTGGGCAACCAACTCGGGGGCCTAGCTGTATAATTTTGATGCAGGCCAAGCAGAAGCTGATGAAAGTGTCAGGTTCAGCATGTCAGACAATGCCGGTGCCGGCGAAGAAATTACTCGGCTCACTTGAGGCCGCCTTGAGAGACTTGGTGTTGCACGAGCAGGGACCTTTGGTTTTTGCCCATGATTCATTTTTTTTCTTCTTTGGGGGGTCGGTTCATGGGGCCAAATCAGAAGGGCCTTGAGGTCCAAGTGTCGAAGAAGTCGGGTGCAGATCACAGCGCCCAAGGCCGTGACCGGTGGAATTCGAACAAAAGAAGAGATCCTTTAATTGGCAGTCGGTTGAATTCGAGCTCTGGTCAATGAAATCAAAGCGAATCATCGTGGAATGTGTTCTGCAGGACCTGCTCGAAGCATACAGCGCCGACGGCTTCCAGAAACAGGCGCTGATTTCTTCCCGAGGTATCGGACTCTGAATTTTCTGAGTTCAGGTGACATGTTCGTCGACTTTTTGGGACTTACGAAGTGGATTTGTTGGGCTTGCTTCTGCCAAAAAAGGGGCACCCAGCTGAACTGACGTTCCTGTTAGTCTGTTGTTTGTGGGAGGAGAAGGGCACGGGCCCCGAACTTGGCCTAGCCTCGTCTTGGGGAAAGTAATGTTGTCTGCGCTCGAATCTCCTTAAGGCGATGCAGGTTGTAATGACGACATGTGCAGGTTCATGCAGATGCCAAGGCTGGGCGCATAGATTTCAGCTTGCTCTTCGAGCCTGTTGCAAGGCCCTTGCTGACAGGTCGGGTAAGGCATAGTTTTCCCTGCGACCGCCCTCTCTCACTTGAGTGATTTTCCACGCATAGTCAAACGGTTTGCAGGGCAACAACCACCAGCGCACCAAGCTCAGGCAGTGATGTTCGAGTTTCAGCCGTTCCTCAAGCGCCTCAAGAACACAGCATTTGTGGTGCCCCAAATCGCGAAGCTCTATGTCTATGGCGCGTGTCTTCTTTGGAGGTGGTACCCCTTTTTCTGAGTGGTTTGAAAGCGACGCCAACAGCCAATGTTGATACCTCATTTCTCATTCTTCTCTTGGAGATGTTCTGCTCGCAGCTTTGCGCGTGAATTGCGGAGTCTACCTGCTGAATGGCTCGCAGCAGACCGTTGTATCTCTGCGACTGGAGGGAATCCATACGGCAGACCCGACCTGATTTTCGAGCAGTGGCCTCCCAATCCCCGAAACGGACCTCCGGTGCAGCAGCTTAGATGTGCCCAGACAGGGGACCCCTCAAAAGAACCACAGAGCTCCTCTTCGTCAGAGGGTCTCTCTACCTCCAGAATCACATGGAAACAAGCCTTCATTTCCTGGAGACACGGATTTCACGTCCGGCCAGGTCACCATGGTTCGCAGCAGCGCACTGACCCGAGCTGGCGTGTCGCTTCCTTAGTTGTGTGCCTTGAGCAACTACACTTTGTGGTTGTGACACGTAGAGTCAACTTTTCCAGACTGAAACCCTAAAGAAACCAATACGCTAAACAACAGATTGCAAAAATAAACTAAGCTTCTAAGCATCAACCATGAGGAACTCCCTCAAAATTCTCGCCAGAAATCCGATGTCCAAATCCTGCTTCAGGCGTCCCAACCAGGGTTGGGCAAGATCTGTGGAAACAACCATGGCATGCTTAAAAGGGGTGAACCAAAAGGATTAAATGCTGAAACCAAGTTGCACACCACATCTTTCTAGGGGCTCGCGAAAAGGCGGGGTGGGTCAGCGAGCTGGAGGGGCAGTCAACCAATAGCCAATGGGCGGCGGATTTCCGCCACTTTCTTTCTTTGCCATGGATTTGGATAAGAAGGGCCCTAACTTGTTGGGGGCTTTCTTTTTCTTCGAAAGGAACCCAACCAGAAAAATGGTATGCTCCAAAGCGCCCTTTTACTTGAGTATGTCTCAAAATCGGGAACCCCGGAACCCCCCCTCCCCCCCAAAAAAAAAGAGGTTTTCCAACACCTACGAAGAAAATGGCCCCCGAGATCGGGTTTTCGCTTGAGGCTCTCCCTGGCGGCCGCCGCGGGGCTGCTCTGCAGCCCGGGCTTTGTTGGCGCCGGGGGCCTGGGCGTTGCAGGGCGGTCGGTTGAAAAGGACGCCGGACGCCGCGCTGTGGCCGTTTTGGGGGCGCTCCGATTTTTGGACACATGTGGAACCCACGCATCCATGATTTGTGCTTGCCATGTGCATTCCCAGATGCGAAGGGTTCTTTTTCAACCAACGGCTTTTTGAGTGTGTCTCGAGCGCGGCGAACCCTCTGCAGAGATCGCACCTGTCGAAGTGTGCTCTCGCTCGTGCGAACTTTGTTGTTTTCTTTACTTGCAAATGACCTTTGGAAGTTGTCTTGAGGTCTGCGCGCTCTGCGGCAGCTCTGGCTCGAAAGTCGCGACAACAAAGTGCGAAAGAAGTACGCTAAGTGATCTCCCGCAGCTCCGGCTCCAAACTTGTCAGTTCTCAGCTACGGTGTTCTTCGCGCGCGCAGCACTCCCGCAGCACCGGCAGCAAAATCGCAAGCTCGAGGTACAAAAGTAGCACGCGAAGCGGTTCCCATGGCCTTGGCTCGAGAATCGCAGCGGCACGCGAAGCGCAACCCCGCCCGAGCTTGAAGATCGCGATTTAATACCCCCAGTGCACTCCCGCAGCTCCGCTGAAAATCGTAAGGCTTGACGTGCGAAGGTAGTTCGTGCGCTCTTGCAGCTCCGCCTCGGATCGCAACTCAAAAGTGCAAAAGGAATGTTCGGAAAGCGCGCTCTCGCATCTCCAGCTCGAAAATCCAAACTTTTAAGCGCAACAGGACGCACTAATTACACTTCCGCCAGCTTGAAAATCGCAACTTGTGAGCGCGACAGTAGCATGGGAAGCACGCCTCTCACAGAAATTGGGCTAAAGAGCTTGACGAGAAACGATCATCAAACATTGGGCAGGAGAGATTGCAGAGCGTCATGTGCAAGAGGGAGCACCGTGCGCAGCATCATGGGAAACATCACATGACGCAGCATGAATTCACAGCATTACGTTCACGAGAAGTTGACAGCACTGATTGAAGCATGTTGCTAACAGTTTGCCCATCAGAGCTTGCAGAAGCTAAACTTGAGCGGGGATCGAGGTGTAGGGCGGGCGCGGGGGTGTATCGGTTGAGCGGTACTTGTTGCAAAATCCAACCTTGAAAGGCTTGTCAGCTTTGTGTAAAGGGAAGCCAGAAGGAAAACCTTGATTTTGCCGGGTCTTCCTATATTTTGAGCCATGCAGATCAGATGTATTCGGCACCTGGGCTTTGGTGTTTGCCTTGCGAGGCGTCCAGTATGTTCTGAGGCTGGGCCTGCAGCGCGCAGCACGCGAGCGCCCGAGATGGGTCAACAAGCCGTTGAAAGAGGCAAAGCGTCAAGATGCTGTGGGCTGGGGTGGCCCACAATTTATGATGCCTCTCGCGTCAACATCCGAGGTCCACGCAGCTGAACGGCTACCGCGCGGACCTGAAAGAGAAGCACTCCAAGGGGTGCCCCCCACGAAGCCATGCGAAGCCAACAGGAACCCCACGGAGTGGGGAACACCCACATGGCTGGGTAGATGATGCATGCCCACCCCAACCCCGGATGCCGGGGATGCCAGCTTTCTGGTTGCCCTAGGGCCAAGAGAGGGGATGCCCGCCGTTGCGACTCGACCCCAAGGCCTGGACAAGATGCTGCTGGAGCCCGGTGAGGGCAACGATCGCACCCTCCAGACCTCGGAGCGGACGTCGGAATGGTTTTGCGACGCGCGCGGGGATCTTTTTTTTAGCGTTGACGTTGCGCCCGAGCCGTTCTCAGGCAAGCGGGAAGCCATGGAAGCTCTAGTTGTTTCTCCAGCCAATTCTTTTGGTCAGGCGAGTGCGGGCATTCTTCAGGCTTGCGAAGCGAGATCGCACGTCAACCTTTTTTTTTGAAACGCACGGAGAAGGAAGAAAAGGGCAGCTCTGGGCTACGTGTCCACGCCGGGGCTTCAGGAATCGTGTGCCTGGGTTCAAGAGCAAGTCCGTCCAATCGAATCTCGGTCCGTCGGCTCGCAGGAAGGCTTCTGGGTGGGCGAGGTGGGCTTTGAGAAGTCCCAGTGGGCCCAGGGTGGAGCTCTCAGCACACTCCGATGGGAGTTCTGCGACCTCGTTCTGGTAAGGCCAAGGTAAACTTTGATAACCATACCCAAAAATCAATGGGTTTTGGGTGTTCACGTTTCGGATTGTAATGCTTGGAACATGTTTTTTGGATCTCCAAATAGGTGCTCAATCAAGACGCGCGCCAAAAACCACCCCCAGATGGGTTTGTGCTTCTTTGAGGCCAGCTTTTTTCCGCTTGGTTCATAGGGACTGCTCGCATTTTGGGATTTTCATCGCATTTTGATGCGCATAGGGCGTGAGAGCGAGACGCAGCAGCGCTTAGGCTACCGCTACCGCATGCGGGCCAGCCCTGAGGACCGGGAGTCGCGCGCACTTCGGCCTCGGGTTTTGTGGTATATTTTTTTGAGTCCTTGGGCTTTTTTAAGGTTAACCCCATATTGATCGACCCCAGTTTACCAATACTTAAACTGGGTTGATGAATATGGGGTGAATATCAAGTTAGAAAAGAAGGGGAAGCCAACGGGACACCTAGCCGATTTTGACGCCTCACAGGCGATTCCGGGGCACTCCGCAGGAGCACAGGAAGGGCATTGATGTTGCTCCCGCGCAGCCGGCTCAGCGCTCCGAAGCCGCCAGCTGACTGGTTTGGAGTTTGATCTGGCTGAAGAAACCTCTCCCAATCCAAACGACACCAAGAGGGAAGCTGCAAAGACAGCTTCTAGCTTGGGATTCAGGTTCCAGATTGGCCCCATCAAGATCAGGATTGGAGAGGCGCTCTGCTCGAAACTTCGACCGATTTCGGTTCTCGTTCAAGAGGTCAGCGTTCTAAGCATATGCCAAGGGACGCAAACTGCAGTATCGGGGTTCATGGTTCACGATGCAGTATTCATGATTCATGCAGTTCGATATAGATAGATTCAGTAGCGTGACAGTGAAATAGAGACTCGGAATTGTTGATCTAGGTGTGTCTCAACATAGCCCGCCCCCCCCCCAAGAATGGTGGTTTCCTATTTCCTTTCAAAATGGTGACTTCAAAGAAGGACACATCCGTATTCATGCTCCTTTGCCAGATGCTTGGTGGCAGCGGCAACAACGACAACTTGTTCCGCCCACAGCTGCGAGAGCTGAGCGGATGGATGTTTGTCTGGAATTACTCTGAGGCGCAGGCTCAAGAAGGAGATCGCCCAAGCTGGCCTTGACGACCCCAAGAAGATTGAGGTGCGCTGCTGAGGGGCTTTCTTTTTTCTTTTTTCCCATGTGTGTGGGTGCGAGGGTACCCTTCTGAGGGGTGGACTTGAAGGGACACCACAAGGCAAGACTCTACTTTTTGGGTCACCCACCTTTGACACGTGGGTTTCGCTTTAATTCTATCCACAAAAAGGGTACACCCACTACCCGACTGCACAAAAAAGGGCTACCCTCAAAGAAAGGCAAAGTAACCTTTTCCATGCTCAGTTTCTCAACAGGCCAAAAGCGCCTCTCGGCGCTCGGCCGCCTTGTTCTCGCGTCACTCGAGGAGAACGAGTACTGGCTGAAGCGCTATGGGCACAAGCGCTGGTTCCCCAAGTACGTGGACCAATCCGGCGCCAAGGGTTTGGTCCTCAGCTCTCAGCTTCGCTTTTAAGCCGACCAAAACTGGGTACTGGGTGCTCTCCAGAAAAAGACACCCCCATGTGAAAGTGTCTTTTTGGGATGGCAACCCCTTTTTTGATTTGTTTTAAGAGGGAACCTATAGGAAGACCAGCATTTTGGGGGCTCCCCTAAAACAGACACACCCACATATTTTCCATGAGACATACTGTGGATAGAACGAAATCCGATCCGCACCAGTTGGGATGGATACAGCCGTATTTGAATGCTGGGATAAGCCACCTATTAACTGGTGCAGGATTTTGTCCATCCACAATATGGATATCATGTGCCATTGCAAAGACATTCGGGAACAGTAAGGGAAGTGTTTCTATCCAAGAAACAGTTGTTTTTCGGGCTCAGCAGGTCTCTTTGGGCAGAAAGTTGTGCCTATGAAATTCAAAGGGATCCACCTCAAAAGAGGCTGCGCATGCGTCCTCGAAAAGGACTCTGAAAAAAGGATAGAAAATTAGGCTACTGTGATACCATCACCTCCAGCTGGAGGATCCTCTTGATTTCAGGTCTCGTTGGTCTTTGAGTAAGCCATTTGGCTGTGGCTCAAAAAAGGTGTACCAAAATTTGTCGCCTTGGCAAATGAAACCTTGCAAGGCCTACAACCTGCGGTTTGCCCCAGCTCTTTGATTTTGACCCAAAGCCATTTGGAGGTCATGTTTGAGGATCTCACTTTCATGGATCCAGTTGCACACTTTTACATGATAATAATATAAAACACATATTCTTCATTGATATAGAAATGTACATTTATGTAGTGCATTTGTTGAAGGACAACATAAAAGTATAAATTTATTAAGACACCGTAATTATTTATTTGGTTAAGTTATACTAAAATTATATATCATATTAATACGTACGTTTACATATCATTAAAAAATAGTACCAAAATCAAGAATGGATTCATTTTATTGCACAGTGTGCGGAGCAGAGATATTTAAGTCAGCTGACTCCATGTGCTGACTTTCGCTCTTTAGTTTTGAGCCATACCCATCGTCCCCGTCCCCTCAGCTCTCAGGCGTGGGCGGGCTCTTCCGCGGCTTGGCCGCCTGGTCCGGTCCGGCACCCAGACCCGATTTTGTTTCTGTGGTCTCGTTTTTGGGCAAGGGTACCCAGTTTTTTTTTGTTTTTTTTAAAGCACCCGCAAATCAGGGTCGACTTAGCAGACCAAAAGGAAAATCACCAGTGGGACCCCCCTATCCTGACAGTGAAGGCTGGTCCCGTTGCTCAAAAATTAGGTGCAAGTAGGCCTTGCGGCTGTGTACCATGCTTGGGTACCTGTCCCGACTGGAAAAATCGGTTTGGCGGCATGGATTCTTCGTGGGTTTGGGCAGATGCCTGCAAGATTTCTTCAATACCCAGCATTGTCAAACGAGTTGCTGGGGACGGTGGACTCCATTCATGGGGGTTTCAGACAACCAACGTCAAGTTGTTTGGAGATTCGGAGTACTTGACGTGGCACGTATGTGAAGCACAACCGCAGTTCATCTAGAATGAGCCTATTTGGGTGTGTATAGCAAGATGAAAAGTCCTTAAATACCGTGGATGGACGAAATCCTGCACCACTTTGAAGCCACGGGAAACCATTGTTTGCTGGTATTTACAGCGCAATCATTCCTTGAGGGTTTCTTAGGTGGTGCGAAACGGATTTCATCCACAGTATGCCCATAGTTGCGAGGCTTCGATCCTCTGAACGAGGAGCGCGGCAAGACCTGGATCGAGGCCACTGTTCGGAAGCCCCAAAAGGAAGTCTATCGGAGAACTTTGGCGTTGGAACCCTCATGGCTAAGGAAAGGAACCTTGCGTGTTGCCTGGCTCTTGCGCGCCAGGCGGACTACGGCAAGCCTTTGATGGGGGACAAGAAAGACATGACGTGCGCCAGGGAAAACGCAGCTTTTGGGCTTCGCTTCTTGATGAGTTTCGCAGCCCTAAGCCATCACATTGGGCATGTGTGTGAGCTGATCGCTCAATAGGGGAACCCACAAAAAAGGGTGCCTGTTTCCGTTTCGTTTCCCTTTCAGCCAACCCAAAAAGGAAAACCCACATTGTGTGCCATTGCTAAACCACCCCTTGACTTGGGGTGTTCTCACATCAGGTTGGTCAACATTTCCAGTCGCCTAGAGTTGATTGTGGCAAATACATGGGAGGACGAGCTCCAAACTTTTGGGTTTATTGGTTGATTCCTCTATGAGCTGTAATTTCTAAAGGTTCTACTGTGGGTTTTCTTGCTTTTGATGCCACCCTTAGGAAACACCGAAATCCATTTTGGGGGGTCCGAATGACAGGGATTTCAAGGGAATCGGTCCCCTAAAATGACAAGGGTTTCCTTTTGGTTTGCTTTAAATGCACAAGCGACAGGGGTCTGGGTCCCCTTTTACGCCAAACGTGAAACCGGCTGAAAGCTAAGGAGGGTTCCGGACAAATCCGGTGGAGGATGCCACCTGGGTGAACGTGTTTATTTTTTTTTGGGAGGGGGATCCAGATCCTTACACAGACAACTTGTTTTTTGCGGCGGGGCGCTGCGCTTGTGCGCCAGGTTCCCTGGCCTGCTCACCAAGGAGCAGCCGTGCCGGCATGTTTCTCGCGTGCTGCCTGTAGGTCGAAATGTCGGTTTTGCTGAACAGCGGAGCCTTGTGGTGGGCGAAACCCTTGCGATTTCTCTAGGGAGCTCCAATTTCGCACAGTTCTCTTGGGGGAGCCGAACATTTTGACCGTGGCTCATAGAGCCGAGCGAAGAAGTTGGAGGTTTCCAAGCAGACAGAGACATGCCAGGATGCAGAAGGAGCTCGACAGCGGCAAGCTGCCCAAGAAGTAAGGCCCTGGCCTCGGCTCGGCGCCGGGGATGTTGAGGCGAGACTTGAGAGCTGCTTTGGGGGCTTCTGTTTATGTAGACCACCATTTGGCCGTGGCTCAAACTCATGTACCAAAAGAGCACCTTGGTAGATGAAACCAAAGGCTAAGACCTGCGGTTTGCCCCAGCTGATTGATTTTGACCCAAAGCCGTTTGGAGGTCATTTTTGAGGATGTCACTTTCATGGATCCAGTTGCAGAGTGAGAAGCAGAGATACTTAAGTCAGCTGACTCTATGTGCTGACTTTCGCTGAGATACCTGCATTCAAACTTTGGTCGGAGCCCCAGCTTGCATGACCCACAAAGTGAAGCATGCGTTCTCACCATGTGAGCCATATTACACTGACCGTCGCGGCAGGTCAGCGCTGTATTTTTTGTACCCGGCCAGTGAAGTCTGATTCGTGGTCCTTTTCCCGAAGAGTGCTGTGTCAGATCCTCTGTCAGAGGAAGAGAAGGAAGAGAGGTGGGGCCGCAGCACTGGACTCAAGCGCTCGCTATTTTTCCAGGGCTCTGGGTATCGCGTGTAGCCCGCCAGCAAGCTGGAGCCCAGTGCCTGGCAAAAAGGAAGCGCGTCTGGCGTGCCCTCACAGACTCCCCCCAAACACCTTAATTCAGGGCATATGGGGGTCGACCGCTGCTGCGAAGATCGCGCACCCCAACGTCCCTGATGCTTTGAGCCCCAAATCTTGCCCCTGGCTTTGTGGTTTGGAGCTCCAGTGGGGGTTAGCGGACGGCCGCAAGTGGCTGTGGCTCAAAAAACCGGAATTCCAAAATGGGTTGCCCTGGTAAGTGGAAACTTGGACCAAAACCTGCGTAACCCTTCCTGTCTAATTTTCAGCCACACCCAAACGCCGTCCGCTCGCAGGTACAGGAGCCGCTGCTGGGGAAGTGGGGCTTCGACCCCTCCGAGGAAGGTCTGGCGGAGGCCGATCCGCCCAATTGTTTTCCCAGCGTCGCATTTTGTTTTTTCGAGGCTTGGTGCCCGTTTTTGAAGGTGGTTTCAAGGGGGAAGGCCAGAAGGAAACCTTTGCCATTTTTTAAAAGTTCCACTGTTTTGAGCTAGTGACAAACCCAGCTAGAGGAGCTTAACAAGGAGCTTAATGACATTCACTTCTGGCAGGTTGTTTAACGGGATTCCCGCAAAAGCCAAGCAGTGGTCCCCAATGTTCAGAAACACAACACGACGCTTGCAGCGGGTTCTGTGGCGACACGAGCTTTAATGAGGTGCTCTTTGGTGAACATTACATGTGCGATTGACGTCCACCTAGCATTTCAGGTTTGGTCAGGTTTGTTCAGCCGCTTCTGGTCCATGTGGAAAGGGCATGGACCCGAAACCAGGACGGGACACTCCAGCCATTTCGACTGCGGCTCACTTGGCAATGTCTTGTTTCAGCCCCCCGTTTGAACGGAAAAACCCGCGCCAAATTTGGATTTCGGGGGTTCCCCAAATGGATTTTTGGGCCCTGGCTTGGGATGAGAAACTCGGTTCGTAGATGATGGTGTGCCTCAGCGACTACACCTTCCGCGATCAAAACCTCCGGCGCGAAGCTGAGATTTCGCGCGTGCCGCCAGCGACGCTCGTACTTGGGCACGGTATAGCCGAGGCGGTAGATTTGCCGGTCAGGGGTGCAAACCAAGAGGCGCAAATATCCTTGATTCTTTATATATAGGGCTCACTACCGAAAACTTTTTCCAGAACGAAGCTCCAGTGGTTCCGAGAGACTTGCAGCTTGAGACATATGAATGGGAAAGTGGCCCTTTGTCCTTGAAAGGACTCCTAAAAAGGGCAGCCTGAGAACAGGGCTCCTTAAAAGATACATTTTGCAACCATTTGGAACACGGCTTTTTCCACCAAAATAAGGGGACACCACCATTGACAAGGCAATGTTCAGGTGTAAAATGCAAGGATCCCTGCATAAGGACATGGATGTGCTAAGTCCCCCATCGCAGCTTTGAGAAGTCCGCGCTCGAATCCGAGGAAGCTTGCAGACGAGACCACGAAGATGCTATACGGAGGGGAAGATGGCATGTGGGGCATGGAAGATTGAGCGTCAAAGGCTTCTTTTTTTTGATGGGCAGCCATCAGAGAGAAGGAATCAATCTTTCTATTTTTGGTTTGTTATGGGCAGCCATCAGCGAGAAGCGAGAAGCAATCTTTGAGATCTAAGGCTATGTTTGGTTTGTTGTGGGCAGCCATCAGAGAGAAGCTATCAAATAGATCTTTAAGATCGAAGGCTATGTTTGGTTTGTTGTGGGCAGCCATCAGAGAGAAGCCATCACTCAAATAAATCTTTAAGATCTAAGGCCACGTTTGGTTTGTTATGGGCAGCCATCAGAGAGAAGCTAACTGAAATCAATCTTTAAGATCTTTCCGCGCCATTCTCAGTTTCACTTGCAATGGCCATTGGCCGTCCGGTAGCATCAGTCAGGTGTACAGTCGTTGCGAGTGAAAACGCGGGACAGCCAATTCAGAGTGAGGGCCCGAGCCTGGAGCAGATGAGCGAGAAATTCTTGGACTCGCAGACCTTGACCTTGACACAGGGTTCCCAGGAAGCAAATCCGGAGCTATGTTTGCGAAGCACAGAGTAACAGGCTGGAATCTTTGTGAAGCAAGTTGCAAAATGCTGATGTTGCTTGACTCTTGGTGCGTTTGGGCTCAGTTTCGAAATGAACAAGACATGCTCTTAGCTAACATCGCCTGCCTTGCCAAACTTGCAGCCTTGATTCCTGGATGCCAGCTTTGAGAGCATCTTGACATTTGGTACACCGATCCGGCAAGCTCATCATTACAGGCAGCTCACGAGACGACTCAGCCAAGCCACTTGCGAGAGGTGCACGGATTGAATTCCTTTAGATCTGCAGCCCTTCTGGGCAAAAAAGTCGGCTTGCCCAGTGCAGGGTGTCGCGGGTTGACCGGAGGGGTCCTGTTTCTCTCGGAGCATACCGATCTTTTGATCATGCCACGAAATGGGTATGGGTCAAAATTAAACCACCAGGAATTGGACCGCTGGTTTTAGTCCATGCTTCAATTTACCAAGTTCCACAGGGCTCCTTAAAAGATACATTTTGCCCATTTGAGACATGGCTTATTCCACCGAAATAAAGGGAAACCACCATTTACTGCAATGTTCAGGTGTAAAATGCATCCGGATCCCTGCTTAACCCATTTAAATGTTCCATGTTGGGTACCGGTTTTTTGAGCCACAGCCAATTGGTTTCCCTTTGCCACCTCCCAAGAAGGTACCTGGGTTCTTTCCTCGCGTTCCAGGCGATGCAGCCCGAGGCGGGTCCTCTCACGGTGACACCGCGCGGGCCCCTGGAACGAGAGCGCGTCCCAAGGACTTTGTTTTGGGTATGGGTCAAAATGAAACCACCAGGAATTGGACCGCAGGTTTTAGTCCATGTTTCCATTTACCAGGGCAACCCATTTTGGGCCCACATTTTTGAGCCACAGCCATTTGGGGTTTTGGGAAGATGTGGCTTCACCTGGCCCATTTGGCTGTGGGTCAAAAATGGGTACTCAAAATGGAACCCTGGTAAATAGAAACATGGACTAAAGTCTTCGGTCTTCTGGTGATTTAATATTGACCCACACCCATTTCTGACCTGGTTTTACACCATGGGAAACCCCTTGGTTGCCTACGATACCGGTAACTGGAAGCACAGAGTGGAATAAAAAGTAGTCACAGAATGGGACAATTGGTCTACCTGGTTTAGCAAGGGTTACAGTTTGGCCTACAAACATAATTTACCGGCTTCAAGGGGTGTGGGTCGCTGCTGACCGTGTGGGTGAACAGTGAAAAGGCCAGGGTTGTCAGAACTTTTGGTTTTCCTTTTGGTTTTCCAATATGGTCAGAATTTGGGCGATTTTTTTGAGGTTACCCTTTCTCTTTGGCCGTCAGCTGTATGACATGGCCCTCTAGTGCCTCCTGCTCAGGCTGCCGACGTTGCGAACGCTCATTTTGTGTTTATGTCCGGTTGGGCAAAGATAAATTTGGATCCTGGCCTCATGTGGGGCAGTCTCTTCATTTTCCAGAACACAAACCAAAGGATACCAGCAACAAAACGACACGCCCATTTTTGCCCAGGGACAAAAGTTCAGAGAGAAATGTTTGCTTCAGGAAGACTCCAAAATTGGCAGTTTCCACGTGCTTTGTCCATGAAGCTTCCGTTTTCAGACCCGAGGGTGTTTCAGAAGACCGAAGATGCACAGAACATGTCGAGTTTTCACTGCGGATGGAACCTGGGCTCAAGGCATAGGTTCCATCGCCTTGCAGCCATGGCTTCGCTCACCGACTCAAGGCTGCGTTGGCTGGAGGGGTTTTGCATGGGACCTGGTTTTGCCCTTGTTCCCCTTGACAACCCCCCCAAACAAGGTTCCAATGTTCAGACTCATGCATATGGACTGGCGTTTTACCCAAACGAAGGGTCCCCCTTCCCACAGCAATCGGCAGCAGTCCACTTGTGTGGAAGCGCTGGAGCCGGTTCCTCGCGTTTGGGCTCCCTGTAAGGCGACCCCAAGAAGTTTTTGAACCCCCCCATCTTTTTGCGGATGCGGCCGTAGGTCCCGATGGTGGTCGCGCTTTCGCACGCAACACGCGGCTTCCGGGTACATGCTGCAGGCGTTTGCGGGCGTCCTCCGCGAGTCGGTAAAACCGTTGCCGCGATGCCGATAGGTTCAAGAACAGTAAGAATACACTTGCACAGAGGGAAGTGAACATGGGTATGTGTAAAAGTAGCCCCGTCCCCAAAAACAAACAGTTTTCTTGGTGGTTTCCCTTTAAACCGGTCCCAAAAAGGATACTCTCAACAAAAGGCAGCCCGTCTGAAGAAAGGTCCCTGAAGGGCTGTCTCATGGGGAAGCCCAACGAATAGTTCCATTTTGCTTTTCCTTGAAACCGCTACAAGTTGGAAAGAAGGCAAAGAGACATACAAGGACATACACCAGGCCGACAGTATGGCGGGAAACCCTTTGGGACGAAGGAAGGACACCTATGAAACCGAAGGCATGACATGGTGAGGAATGAGAAGAGGAAAGGGTGGGATGAGGAGATAGGGAAGTGGCTGGTGGTGGATGAAGAAAGCATCCCGTCCTCCCATCCCTTCCTTCCCTCCCTTCCTCATCCTCCATCCCTTCACTTCCCAAGCCTTTCTATTCCTCACGTCATAGCGGCTTGGCGGCTTGGCTGATTGTGGGAGGGACTTTTAGTGGGGTGATGTTTGGAGCGGAGAGAGTAAGTCGATAGTTTCAATCACAAACACGCAGGAAGCTGTAGAATCATTCGTGCCGAGCCCACAGCCACGCGCTTGAGTCAGACATGGCCGTGGCAAATATGTTGGAAAGGTCTTTTGGGGCGGGGGAGGGGGGGGGGAGTCTCAGACAGTCAGAAGTGCGCCGCTGATGATACACCTAGGTTACTAATCATGAACTTGACCAGACACAAAATCAGTCACGGGTAGCCGTCCCGATTCACATAAGCAAGCACTACTGCATATGAATGGCTCCTCTGGGCTTCCGCCCCGAATACGCCAACCCTTGTCTTACTTATGGATGAATGAAGCTTGGTCTTCCGACTCTTGAGAAAGGGTGAGAAGAGGAGCATGGGAAGTCTCTCACCATTCATTTCCTCCGTCAATTTGTGAGACCCTTCCTTGCCTCTTTTCTGTTTGTCAGGGTTTTATGACGGACGGAGCCAGCAGATGAAGAGAGTGACCGCGATACAACCCAAACAAAAATGTAAGGCTGGCCAAGCAAACAGACAGTTACTAAGCTTGGTCAGTAAAGGCGAAACCAACATGGGAGCATGGGTTTCCCCGAATATCGCGAGTGAACCAGATCCAACCACAAAACCCTGGATCAACTTCCAGTTTGAAGGGTTTGCTTGGCGCCTCAATATGGGTGCATCTTTCTTACCCTTTTCGGGGTTGGCTTAGAAGGAAACAGTTTGGAGGGTCTCCGTATTTTGAGACACACCTGTATGTGGAGCTTTGCACTTTCTCAGGCGGCGAAGGTAGTTGGCAGTGAATCCGTGGGCCTTGCTGCACGGGTGCTGAAAGACCGGGAGCGGATGCTTGGCGAAAATATGCCCGCAAACCCGGGTAGATTCAGGGTTAGTAGTTATAGTCCTAACCATGAACAACTCTGCGGTCGCCCTCCGAGTCTTCTTTACATGGGTATGGGTCAAAATTAAACCACCAGGAATTGGACCGCAGGTCTTAGTCCATGTTTCCATTTGCCAGGGCAACCCATTTTGGGGTTACCCTATTTTTGACCCACGGCCACCTGGGGCTCGTTTTGCCCCGCGCCTCCCCTCGTTGATGCGAATTTTTTGAGACCAAGACCAAGCCGCCGATTGGGATCCAATGTCTCATCCCAAGCCAAAGAGACATCAGCTGGAGCTGCCCAACTATAGCACTGTAGCTGTGGAACGCAGTCGAAAACCAAAGAACAATGGGAAGTTTGGTAATGCAATCCTAGATCACTGCGGTTTGCCCAAGTAAACCACGACTGCAGTTTACAATCGGGTTCGAGATGAATAACAAGCAGCACGAGGGTAATCCTATTTTGATTTGGGAGATGCTCAATATCTCCTCAATATCTCCGAAGCAAACGTCAAAGGCCAGACTCTAGACACCGCGCCGCAACCGGCAGCTGCGCGCGCAGAATCGCCGCCCTTGCGACGCTGCGGCGCAGAGGAGAGCAGGACTGCTTCTGCGAACAACCGTGTCAAAGCCAAGTGTACACAGGCCAAGTCAATCATCGCAGTCATTGCGGCCAACAGTTTCCTAGCGCTGGCCGCACCTGTCCGTGCAAGTCATGGAACAAAAACACGCCTTGATCGCAAAGCTGGCGCCATAGACCAGCCCCCTGGTTGGCGCAACTTTCCGCTCCAACATGTGTTTCAAACATGTAGCAAAAAGCAGCAACGCGCAAGGCCCCCCTACGCCTAAGCACCAGAACAGTGAAGGACGGACGTCGCCCCGGGCGCAGCCCATCCTCGGTCCTAACGTTGCTTTTGGAACCTTTTAGCTGCCTGCGCTCCAGCGGCTGCCTGCCTGGAACCGCGTGCGCCATGCCAGAACAGCTGTTTTAGCGGCTGCTTGCCGGGACCCAAAAACGTTGGCCCCGCCAAAAAAATGGTAAAAAGGGGATGCTGGGGATTGTATGGTTATATGTTAGGCTGTTTTTTTTTTCAATGTTTCTTCTTTTCCTTTGATGTTTTTTCTGCAGGGGTTTCTGGGGATTTTTCGTCAAAAAGTTTCATTCAGTGTTTGTGTCGGGGTTGTTGTGAAAATGTTTGGTTTGGATGAGGGTAGGTTTTGTTGAGGTTGTTTTGCCTGTTATGGTTTTTATGTTGATGTTCAATGTTTGTTCGTAGGTGTTGATGTTTTTTTCCTGTGGGGGTTCTGGGGATTAGTTCACTTCATTGTTTGGATTGAATGAAGGTGATCATTGTTGAGGTGGTCAGAGTTTTTATGTGCAGGTTCAGGTTCAAACTGTACCAAGCGGTTGTTCAAAGATGTCGAATGTTGCGCTTCAAATTCATGTATTGATTGAGCTTAGGCGCTGTGGTTCCTGTTTGGTTTTGCATATCAAGCATCATTCAATACCAAAGCCAGTTTGGCACAAATTGACTGAACCGATGTATTGTCCTTCTTCTTCGACATTCCGCAGATGCATCTTTGTGAGGCAGGTTGAGCTTGCGCCATGCCGGTTCGTCCTTCCAACTGGTCATGCACGAACACAGCCCGCAAGGGCTTTTCCGGAGCAGACGTGCTGGTTCTCCAAGCTCTCATTCAAAGGTTCCTTCCTGGCTTCTTCATGAACAGGGCAGTGAGGAAGGCTGGGCAAAGACAGAGCCCGCCCCTGCACGGCCGGTCGAGGAGGAATACATCAAGGACTTCATCAACTCACCTCAGCGTAAAGCTTTGAGCACCCCTTCCTTCTTGGTGGTCAGTGGTTCCCAAGGCATTGGGAAATCAACCATGCTGAACAATCTCATGTGTGAGCATGTGAAGAATGGCAAAAAGGTGCTTCCGCTCAAGATGTCAAGCCGTCCTGGTGAGGACTTGAAACTCAATGAAGCGCTGCCAAAAGCATTGCAAGCAGTAAATTTGTCGCGATACCACCTAGAACAAGTGGAGTATATGCTGGAACGGGTGAATGAGACGTCCAAGCGCCGAACAGGCAGTGCCGTCGTTGTATACCTGCAACTCACAACCAAAAGCCGCGGAGACAAATTTAGCAGGGATGCCTGTGATGACATTGCTTCCACCCTCGGTGCCTTCGCACGCAACATCACCTACGACAAGGCGGCGTGCAAGTTCATTTTGGAGGTCAGCGTGTCTGCAGTGGCAGACATCATCAAAGAAAGGTTTAACATGTCAGATTTGGTGTTGGTGCGACCGCTACCTTTCGAAGACTTCACGTCTGTGGTGAAGGAGGTGGCGAAGCAGGGAAACGGCTTCGGGACGCTGAACAAGGTTCTTGCCGACGACAAGGTAGCGGAGGTGTTGAAGTACTACTACATCCGCGCTGGGGGCAACTTCCGCGACTTGGGCGAGATACTGCGAAATGTCTCCGGAGAAGGTCAGAAAGGTGCGGATGCGGTCATCGAGCGGGTTGAGCAGTGGTACATGCGGAGGGTGGAACCAATTCAAAGGAAATTGGATGACCAGGAAGTGAAGGACTATCTCCTCAAGGTGGCAGAGGCAGATCCCATGGGGTATCTCCCAAAGAGCGACAAAGACACCAAAATGGCGTTGAAGCTTCTTCGTGAGGAGCCAGCAGACTGCACCCTGAGGAGTACAACCAGTGAAACTGTGGCTTTGAAGCATTGGCATTTCGTCGCCAAGCTCTTTCAAGAGGACGAGCAGAAGTTGAGGGATGCAGGATGCATGTGAGCTTCGCCGGTGAAAAAAAATTGTGGCACTTGAGATGTTTTGTGGGTGAGTCATCCAAGAGTAATTTTCACATATTGCATGCGTCGCCGCAGGATGCCCAACCCTAGTATCAATGATACCCTGATACCAGTATCCAAGTATCAACGATACCCAGAAGCAAGTATCAATGATACCCAGATACCAATATCCAAGTATCAATGATACCCAGAACCAAGTATCACGGATACCGTGATACCAGTACCCAAGTATCAACGATACCCAGAACCGAACAAGCAACAGCAGACAACTCGTTTCACCCTGGACCTTTTTAGCCAAACCATCAAACACGGACAAACCGTTTCACCCTGAACTTTTGAAGACAACAAATCCTTACTTCAATAAGCGTCCTAAAACCATTGTTTTTGCGTCCAAAACAAATCAATTTAGGACACTTGTTAAAACATGTTTTTTAGAGCAACAGGCCCAAAAATACAAAGAATGGAAACTGAAAATCTACTTAAAGAAACATCCACTAATAACAATACAGAATATACTATAATGGACGCTTCACAACAGATTGTTTTGGATTACCTTTTGTCATCCGAAAAGGGTGAGATATTGAAACATATTGAAACGGAATGGGAAGAAATCAAGAAACTCAACATAGGTGATAAGACCTACAACTTTGAAAGAAACAAACCCATCACGAACAGATTGGAAACCAAATTCAACAAGATTAGACAGACTATGGAATATAAAAGGTACGAATTGAAAGAAAAGAGAGGTATTAGATGGATAAATTTAGACAAAAACCAAGCACTCACAGGAATACAAAAGAGATACAAAGCAACCATCACCGACGAACAATCTGCCTTCAAGAGCTATACATCATCTTATGCCGTCAGCGACCTTAGAGTTAAAGGCGTCAAGGCAATCCAATACTTAAAATATCGAGACTTCAAGAAAAAGAAATACTTACGAAAGCACAATGGAATGAAGGTTTTATTACAAACATTCAGCAACTTCAAGAGCAAAAAACCAACGAAGTCGTCAGAAGAGAAGTCAGGAGTACAAAAAAAAACAAATGAAGATGAAATCACCAACTTCTTGAACCAAATGGCAACAGACATAGAACATCAGGCAGACGTATTCGAAATGTCGGAGAGCGGTTTAGTCCTAACACAGACGGATAAAATAAAACTCATTTTTGACAAATTCAATCCAACTCGTGGTGGTAAATTCATACCTTTATCAAAATGGGTTCAAAGCAAGAAAGCGTGTATCAACATTCAAAACGAAGATAATACATGTTTCAAGTATTCCATTCAATGTGGTATATGTAAGATTTGTGAGAAAGACCATCCAAACAGACTTTATCGCTGCAAAAATTTAAACGATGAACTCAATCGGACGAATGTAAATTTTCCATCATCAAACATTGACATAGATACATTTGAAGAAGACAATGAAGGAAACATCGCTGTCAATTTCTATTTTCTTAATCCTGATGATGATAAACAATCAATACTTTTGTATAGAAAAACAAAGGTTCAAAGAGCAACTCGTCAGATAAGTCTTTTAAAACTTGAAGACGGTGATGACTACCGTTATGTAACATATCAAAGATTACGATAAACTTATAGGAAGTCAAACCAACAAACACAAAGCAACACTTTTTCATTGTTTTCATTGCCGACACGGTTTTCAATCACAAACACTTTTGGATGAACGGAATGAAAAAGGGTGTATGGCAGTTGAAGAACAACGAATAGAAGTGCCATTTTTCGATGAAGATGACCCTGATAAGTTCTTCATTAAATTCAAAAATCAATATAAACAACTAAAAGCACCATTTGCTATTTATGCTGATTTTGAATGTTTGACTACAAGAACGGGGACAGTTTCAACGAAAGAAATGAAGACTGACAAATACCAACATCACAGACCCTGCGGTTTTATGATTAATGTTGTTAGTTCCTTTGATGGAGCATCTGAACCCTTCTTATACAGAGGCGAAGATTGTATGGATGTATTTGTTCAGAAGATGATTGAAGTAAAGGATAAGATAATGGATAAGATAAAAGAAAACAAGGGCATAATAATGAGAGCGGATGATTGGAGAGACTTTAAAACAGCGACGAAGTGCTTTATATGTGGAATGGATTTTAAAGAAGGAGATAAGAAGTGTCGCGACCGTTGCCACTTTATATAGGGGATGTGCTCACGATGATTGTAATTTACAGTTTTCAGTGAGATATTATAAAATACCAGTATTCCTTCATAACCTGAAGAGTTACAACAGTCATTTAATCATTGAAAGAGCAAATGAATTACCAGAAAGAGCGAAAATAGATGTAATAGCATTGAGTAGTGAAAAGTTCAGCACCATTGCTTTCAAAAATCTTTGCTTTAAGGACGGTTTCAGTTTCTTATCTTCTTCATTGGATAAGTTAGTCAAGTTGAGGAAGTATGAAGATGGAGAGAAGAAACAGAACTGGCAAAACAACTTTAAATTTAGTAAAAGAAACCCTTATGTGAGTAATGATGAGGATTTTGATTTACTCACTGATAGAGGTGTATATCCTTATGATTACTTCACTTCCTTTGATAGGTTCAGAGAAAGACAACTACCGCCGGAAGAAAAGTTTTACAGCAATCTTACCGAAAGTAATATTAAATATGATGAATACGAAAGAGCGCAGAACATTTGGGAACATTTCGGTATAAAAAATCTTGGTCAATACCACGACTTGTATTTGAGAGCCGACATTTTACTACTAACAGATGTCCTTCAAAATTTTAGAGACCTTTGTTTGGAATGCTATGGTTTAGACCCCGCACATTATTTTACATTACCGAATTTTGCTCGGGATGCTATGTTGTTAAAAACGGGTGTCATATTAGAACCATTGACCGACCAGACTATGTATGAAATGATTGAGAAGGGTTTGAGAGGTGGTATGTGTCCGGTAAGTCATAAAGAAGCGAAAGCAAACAATAAGTATATGGAAGGTGAATATGATGAAAACAGACCATCTAATTACATCAGTTATTTAGATGCTAATAACGTTTATGGACTGGCAATGTGACTGAAACTACCGATAGGATAACTGAAATGGATTGATAAGTTATTGAATGAAAAAATGATACGCGACTGGAAGGCGAACGACGACTTTGCTTATATATTAGATGCTGATTTAGAGTATCCAAAAGAAATACAGGACGAACAGTCAGACTATCCATTAGCGCCCGAAAATATGAAGGTTGAAGAAAAATTACTATCAAAACATCAAAGAGAACTACACCGACACTACTATAACAGTAAAGAAGCAAAGGATGAGAAGCAACCAAAGTTAGTCCTAAATCAAATGGATAAGATTCTCTACGCCGTCCATACAAAGGCATTACAGTTTTATTTGAAGAAAGGAATGAAACTAAAAAAGGTTCATAGAGGAGTGAAGTTTCAACAGAGATGTTGGTTAAAACCTTGGGTTGACTTTGACACAGGAAAGCGAAAAGAGGCAAAGAGCGATTTTGAGAAAGACATGTTTAAATTGATGAACAACGCTGTTTATTGAAAAACGATGGAGAATGTAAGAAATCACATTGATTTTGAATTAGTATCAACACAGGAAAGACTACAGAAATGTATCAACAATCCTAATTATAAAGGATGCCATATTATAAATGAAGAACTCGCAGGAGTGGAAAAACCGAAAACGGTGTTGAAGTTGGATAAGCCAATCTTTTTAGGAATGTTTGTTTTGGATTTGAGTAAGGTTCATATGTAAAGTTTCCATTATGATGTCTTGAAAGCGAAGTATAAGGATGATATAAGACTGATATACACTGACACCGACAGTTATGTTTTACAGAAGACTGGAAAGAGATAAAGGATTATATGGACTTCAGCGGTTATGATACATACCACCCTTACTTCATAGCGCTGAAACCGCAACTATACTGTTTGAAAGTATTTGATGAAACAAAAGAACATAAGACAGCAAAAGGAGTGCCTGTGATGAAGACAAACCGAGACCTTGGTATGAAAGACTATGAGAAATGCCTACACGGGCGAAAGTCAAAGACTGTAAATTTCAACAGCACCAGGAGCAAGAACCGTCAAATCTTCAGCATCAATACAACCAAAACGGGACTAACATCATACTGTAATAAGAGATACTGGTATTCAGTTTAAACAGATACAAAACATAAATAAACATATGACCAAGTATGAGAAGGGTAAAATCTACAAAATCATTGACAGTGGATACAACAAGTGCTATATAGGAAGCACTTGCGAAAGTTTAAGCCAAAGAATGGCAAACCATAGACGAAACTGTAAACACTACCTGAAGAATACGTGTAGGGGTAGTTCATCATTTTAAGTGTTTGACGAATATGGAATGGAAAGTTGTAAAATTGAACTGATTGAAAACTACCCATGTAAAAGCAAGGAGGAACTATGGAAAAGGGAAGGTCATTTCATTTCATCAATGGAATGTGTCAATAGATGCCAAGCAGGAAGAACCCCCAAAGAATACAAACTCATCTATAACTAACAAAACCAACGCAAAATCAAGGCTGGAATAAAGGAATGGTGTGAGAATAGCAAAGAAAAATGAAACACATTTATCAAAAATACAGAGATGAACACAAAGAACAGCAAAAGCTGTATATGAAACAATACAAAGAAAAACAACAAGCAAACAAAACAAATTAATAATATTATTCAGCAATAATACTATAAATTAAATCAATCTATGGCTACACAGATTGATGGCAGGTAATTTGTAAAGTATTCGGTCGCTTTTCTTTTCTTCAATTTCTTTAATTCTATTACTCAATTCTCTTATTGCTTTTATTTGTAATTTTTCAACATTACTTATGTCTAAATCTTCTTCGTTTATATTTGTTAATTCTTCCACACAATCATTTTTATCAACACTCGGTGTACTCCCCATATCTATTTATTGTTAGTTTAGATTTTATCAAATCTAAATGAAGAATAATTTTAATCAGATCAAGTTTGATTAAATCATTATTTTATATTTAATTCTTCGTTTTTGCCTTTGTTTTAGGTTTAGGTCTCAGATAATCTTTGATGAAATTTTCAACTTCAAACAAACGAGTTTCTAAATGCTCTATCTTATCTTGTTGCTCTTTTACACACCCCCACAGAATAGTATTCATTTTGAATTAGTTTAACATTTTAATACCAGCTTGATTTACATTGACAATATTTTCAAATTCTGAACGTATAACATCGTCAATATCATCAGCAATGAACCCGATATGATTTTTGGTTATGTCTATCTATTTTTCATCTTTCATTTTGAAAGTCTTTGGTTTTATCTTCATAACCATATCACTAAAAATATATTGAACATCTTTGATGTCATACTTTTTTGTCCGGTCGCTTGTATCGTTAAAGTCCCCCGCTGAAAACAACACCACCACCCAATGTCATATCATTTGCCCTTATGAACATTTTAGCAGAAGAATTAGTATTAAATCTCATACCGACGGAGCGAGGGGGGTGACGCCCCGCTGCGACTTCACGGTCACCAGCATCGACACGGCCATCGTGGACGGCATCATCCTGCGCGGCAGCCTGCTACTTCCCAAAGGCCGGCCGTTTTTTGGCCGGCCGCTGTTTAAGGAGTGTTCTCGTGTTGAGGGTTTATCTTTTTACGGTTGACTTCAAGGGAAACCCAAAAGAACATCTGCTTTTTCCTGGCTTTCTTCTGACCAACTCGGCTTTTTTCTGGCCGGGGCCTTGGAGCAACCCAGTCTTGAGGGCCCCGGTCTTTCAGGTTGCCCGCGGGGTTGACATTGCTGTGTCAACAACCATGGACCGATTGGACTGGAAAGACGACTTCCTTTGTCCGCTTCCATTGTTTAAAAGAGGGTAGATGGTGAACACCCCCCTCTCCAAGGTCTCAACAGTGTTGTTGTTGACGACCCATGTCATCCCCTTCACAGTAGACGGCAAGTGTGGGTCTGCCTTTTGGAGGCTCGGTTCTCTTTTGGGGTTCAAAGCGAAACCCAAAGCAAGACCAACATCCATTGGGCACCAGACTCCCGATGTTCGCCACCCTTTTTAGGTGGGCCAACCTCCCAATGGAAGCCGACGCCCACCCATACGGGATGCGCCACCATGCAACCTCCACCCTCCAGAAACCTCATGCAACCTCACTCACATCCCTCAACGCAGAGGGTGCCCGTTTTGGGTCGGAAGATGAAAAGGACACCCATGTAATGCACCAATTTCAGGACAGACCCAGGGAGCCGTGCTTGAATCCTCAAAAAGTCATGCAAGTGATGTCTGCCAAATGATTCCCCCAAACAGCACTCTCTTGATAAAGTGCCATAGGTTGCTCCGCAGAAGTCTGCAAATCCGTCCACGACACATATCTTGACAGTAAACTCGTGGCAAAGTCCTTTCTGCTCAAACTAGGCACTGTCCACAGAACTCGAATTCTGTTTTTACTTCTTCTGCGTATTTTTGGCAAGCCTTTTGGTACTCTGGGCCGCCCAAGGCCCAAGTTGAGCTCCACAAGTTGAGCTCCACAAGTCGGGGCCGAGCTTCGCGGCGCCAGGCTTGGAAGGTCCCTTCCCCTCCGTACTCCTACGGACGCCTTATGGTCGCAAAGCCGAGATGGGCCAGAGTGCCCTGGAGAATCCACGAGTTGGGTTGGCAGCTGCGTTTCTGTTTCTGTTTGTGCCCAGAAGAAGTTGCTCACCTTATTCCTTGTTGGTTCTTTGGATTTGTGGTTTGGATTTAGATTTGAACCCCTGGTTCTTGTACACCAATGTCACCAATACAAGCCAGTTGGAGGGAAGTCGAAGTCGTTTTTGGCCGTGTTTGCCATGAGTGGATGCGCTTCGAAGGTCAAGAGACTTTTGAGAGAGCCTTTGTGGAGAGTTTGCGCTGACGTAGATGCATATGTCTGCAACCATGCACGAGCATGCCTACATGCGTACATATATTAATATAGACATAGATATAGTATGATGAGTACGTTATATAGCTTCTTTTGAATTGTATTTGTCGCAACGGAGGCGTCCTAGCGCGACAGGGCTATGCGGTGCTGGTGCAAGACACACGTGGCCGCTTCTCGAGCAGTGGCGAGTTTGTGCCTGTGCAACACGAGCCTCTGCAAAATCTGGGGCTGCGATATATTATTGTATGTGTCACCCCGATCATGGCCCTTTTTACCCTGTAGCCACCCGTGCTCGTGGCAGGGTTTACAGCGGCCTGGCAAGAGCCGGAGGAAACTGTCCAGGAGAAGGCAGCTTTTGTCCACCCAGGTAGGCGAGTCGCGCGGGGTTTTCTTGTTTGACACACGGAGCAGCATGAGTTGCCCCTCTGGTTTTACTAGTTCCAGATCCATATGATTTTCAAGGATTAGTCTTGAAAATGCAACTCATTTGAACACAACTAGCTTGACTCAATAACGAGTTTGGATGGTTGGTTGGCCAAGGAGCAGATGGATGGGGAGGCGACGGTCGCTTGGATGCGGAAGCAGCCCTGGTGCAGTGGCAAGGTCGGTGTCACAGGCGCGGAACGGTGAGCCGCGGAACGGTGAGGGCGGGGGGCCCGCGTTGCGCTCTGCGGCCGGGTGGATTGTTTTGGGGGAACGAGGTGCAAGAAATGGGTGTGGCTCAAGAGTAAACAGGAGGGGCAAACCGCAGGTTTTGGTCCATGTTTCAACTTACCAGGGCAACCCATTTTGGTACCGGTTTTGTGAGCCACAGCCAAATCGGTGTTTGCTGTCTGGAGGCTCACCTCTTTTCAGGTTGCTTCAAAGGGTTTCACCAAAAGTCCCCTCCCCCCCGATTTTGACATATATCATCGATAGCTGGAAGTCGCCCGAAGGTTGGGGTCTGCGTGATGGCAAACCCCGCTTTCTTGGGTTCGTTTTTTTCTTCTTCTTTTTCCCCCCTTCTTTTTTGTCTCCATTTGGTTTCTTCATTTTTTGCTCCAACATGTTTCCATTTGTCTTTTGGTGGCGTTTTGGATTGCCACAGCTGGCAACGGCTTCCGTGAGCTCCTGCTAGCTGATCTGGTGTCCCCCCCTGCCCCCCCCCCAAATCGCCCCAACAAAGGGGAAGGGTGGGGGGCGGAGGGGTGTGGTGGGGGGGGGGGTATCCCTCTGGAACACAGACAGCATCGCACCCTGGATAGCCGAACTTGCTATGGTCTCGGCGTGAGCTCCCAGTCCCGGTGGTACTTGGATGGCACCCTGCAATAAACATGAAGACGAGTTTCCCTCCAAACACATGGCTGTGGCTCAAATACATGTACCAAAATGGCCCCCAAACAGTAAATGGATCCAAAGAGTAAGGCCAGCGGTTTGCCCTAGCTCCTTCACTTTCTTCACTTTGAGCCACAGCCACATGGTACCCGCAGTGAACATCCCAATCCCCACTAACAATACAGCCCAAAACGGGTGGTGAATTCAACAAAAAGGTTTTGAACACCACAGCCAAATGAAGACACCGAGCTTCCCCCCTCCAAGCACATCAGAGGTGCATGTTGCTTGGATGTTGGGACTCTAACTTTTCGCCAACTAATGGGCTTTCCGTATTAAGCCACTAAAAGTTAGTCACTTTTAGCAGGGCTTCGCAGATTTCGCCACTGAGAAACGAGGCCCTCCCCAAGCAATCGGCCAGCCCAGCGCTCAGAGCTGGTTTGTAGGCGCCAGCTACTTGGGCTTCACTGCCTGGGCCTGCGTGGACGGCGCCCAGGTGGACGCCATTGCCGGGGTCTTCAAAGGGGTAGATGGGACCGGTTCAGGTCGACGGGTTCCCTGGAACCCGGTTGGGGGTTTCAGGTAAAGGTCAACTTGGGTTTAATTTTCAACAGCTGAAAGCTTTGGGGTCTCAGCCCAGATAGGCTCCGGGGTGGTCCGGGGCGGCCCTGAGGTAAGGTTCCACGAGAGTTCTACCAAGGGCATGCTGTTGGGGATATCACCCGAGCTTATTTTTTAAAAAGTCTGAGGTGGTTTTCCAATATCGATTGGGATTGGCCACTCCATTTACAGCCCACTGGAGGAGTCTGGCGTGTGTAAAGCCGGCGACACCAAGGTCCCCATGATCACGCAGAGCAACATCCGCAGCGCGGTGTTCCGCCCGGGGGGCGCTGTGAGCTTCGAGCTGGTGGTGCTTTGGTTCTACTTGGTCCTGCATCTCATGAAGGAGACGACGGGAATGCATTGCGCTTTGCGAAATCGGTTGGTTCGCACTTTGAAACCCGGGGAAGGCACTGTTTGGTGCTTGCCGGGGGATCGTATCGTTGCAGGGTTCCTTAGGCGGTGCCTAGGTGCGAAATGGATCTCGCAACCATCAGTAGGCCTAGGCCGGGGGTCCCGTTTTTTTTGCCCCGCAGGTCCGTTGGCGCTCGCATGCGCATCTTGCACATCAATACGTTTATCTGTTTTGTTTTTTCCTTTCCTGCAGGTTTGGTGCATGAGGCACGTGTTTCTTTGGGGGTCCCATGGCACATGTCTTGTGCATGGAGTTGGTTCCCCGAACCCCGAAATTTGCGCTGCGTTCCAGGACTTGGGCCACGACAGATGGTCATTCTTCAAGAAGCATCGCCGGACTTAACTCACCTTTTGCCCGTTTTTTTTGCCTTCTGATTTGGACGCCCAGAAATGGGAGATCTCGTTTTGTGTTTTGGTTTCCCTTTAAGCCGTTCCCTGAAAAGTACAAAAAAAGAGACAACAACAACGCACCCTTTTTGTGTTCTATCAAATATTCAGAAAAGTTAAACCCTTCACAGGTTGCCCTGTTCGACCCCTAAAAGAGCTGCCGCTTCTTGCCGAGTCGAGGAAGCTCTGGCAAGGCATGCGCGAGGGGAAGCTCCGGAGGGCCTTCGCTTCGCTGCCCATGAGCGGCTCGGAACCTTCCGCTTTTCGGGGCTTCGCCTTTGCTTTTGGCGAGACTTGTCGCCGTTTCGGGCCTTCAATCAAAAAGGGATGCCCAGAGGAACACCGAGAGCGGTTTTCGGAGTGATGGGTAGATTGTCACGTCGACGTACTGGGAGGCGTTCTGGCTTTTCCGGAAGGCTCAGTGATTTGGTCCGGCGCTTGCCAGTGCGCTCGGTCGATGTGAGGCAAGGTGGATGAGATCATTTTGGGGTCCACCAACAACTTCTTGCAAGATGGCCTCTCCGCGCACGGTGATACAACGAGCCGATTTTGGGAAGGCAAGGATAAGCTCTGCCGCTTCGACAAAGCTGTCCCTCCGTGCCATATTCTCACAGGCGGCGCCAGTGAGAAAGATTCATTGCGGTTGAAGGCTCTAAATTCGCTGGTTTTTAAAGAGCACACCTTTTGTGACATTTTCAGGGAAACCAAGAGGAGGGGGGAAAAAATTGTAAAAAGGGGGGGCCCGGGGGGTGGCCTGTTGATGGTTGCCTGTTCTGGTTTTTATGTTAATCTCAAATCTGTGTTCCCCCTTATTCGTTTTGAAAAGGGTGTTTTTAGGGAGCTTATATATCGTTTTCGTTAAGGTAATCATTTGGGTAAATTGTCGCCTTGTTCATTGTTGGGCTGGGGGCCGACATTTTTTTCATTTGAAAGAGTTAACCCTTTTAGTAGTTATCAAGTTCTGAGGTGTTGGTGGTGTATTTGTTTTGTTAGTATTTTTCTCACTAATTTTCATTTATAGGTTAAAAGTTCAGTATAATTATAACATAGAAGATTTTACATGTTATTATTTTATTATGATTATAATTTCAGTTCAGGATAATAATTTAATTGATTTGTCTTACTTCTTTCATACATCATTTTAAAAATAATATTAATATCTCTCACTGTATTTTGAACATTAAACTTTTTACTTTCAATAAATAATTTGATATTTTCTTTAACATCTTCTCCTTTCTCTTGACTATAACCCAACATCCATAATATATCATAAATCATATCATATTTTTCTTACTGATTTTAAGAAATCATAAGGTGGTATTTTATTTACAGTTAGAAATATTAAAATCTCATCTTCTACATTTCTATTCTTCCTTTTATTCTCAACAGACATTTGATTAAAAATTGATTGTCTCTCCATTCCTGACAACTTTTACATTCGTCTTCTTCATCCATTGAATAATTAATAATATTATTCACTATTTCATTAGGTAAATTCAATTTATACAATTCCATACTTTCTTTTTTGAAGTGACAACAATCATAGCATTTTTTATTGATATAATTATTGATTCCATCACCGTTCATTTTCCTCTTAATATATAAGGTAATATTTCTTTAAGTAGTTTTGGCTAGGGGGTTGCTGGTCGGCTGGTCTGGGTTTCAGGTTTAATTTAAATGTCTTAACCGTCTTGTTAGATTATAAAACAATGTTTAAGCATATTATAATTAAATATTATGATTAAGCCATGAAATCATTGTTTCTGTTATGTATACATTTCAAATGTAATATGTTCTATAGTAATGATTTCGTTTCGTTTCATAGTCTGTTTTATTTCTTCAACTATTTTTTCAATATAAAATTGTAATGACGCTCTACTTGTTATCTTGTTCTGTGTGCTTGATGCATAATAACTACAGCTGCAAATATTATTATTATACATAATTTTCGAACTAACTTCTATTCCAACCTTTATTTCTTCATCATACTTCATCATTCTTAATAATTATTTTGGTGGTTTCAACGCATATGAAAGTGCTTTATCACCTTTCAAACATATATTGCTAATCAACACATAATATCTACTTTCTCCTTCTCGTTCAAAAATAGACGGTTTCCATTTCCTTTGTAAGACCCTTAATGCTTTACACTGTTCTAGTCTTTGCCACCCTTCATTGCCAAACATATAAGAAGCGATGTTTAACAATGCTTCCATAGGTAAGCCAGCACAATTCTCAACCATAAAATTATTCTCTGACATTTTACCCTCACTCATTTTTCTCTTCATATATAAGGTATTTTCTCTTTAAGTAGTTTTTTGGTTGGGGTTGCCGGTTGGAGAAACTGGGTTTTAGGTTTATATTCAACCACTCAACCTGTCTATTAATATATAAAGCAAACTTTAATAATATTACAATTAAACTATATATTGATTACTCTTGTTATGTGTTCTCTTATTCCGTCTTCATCGCAGTATTCTTTATATTCACTGATTAATGCTTTAGTGTATTCACTTAACAATCTTTCTATGATATGCTTTAGCTTAAACTCTTTGTTTCTAAAAAGAAAAGTGCGGTCATTGCCACTCATAAACCAATCAACCATCCACCAACACCTCAACTCTTGTCTTTGTTTCATGTCAACAAACCAGTGGTAGTGTTCTAAGATGTGGTGGGTGTGTTTCCAGTATCTCTTTGCAAAAGACTTAACAGCATTAATAAACATTGTATTTTTCTTAAACTCTTGTTTGGTTTCTTCATTGTCTAACACTTGGTCAAGTTCTCTCTTGAAAACACGAAGGTTTGTTTTATTTGTTTTTGATAAGAAAATAGGCGGGCTCATACACTCTTTGAAGAAAAGTATTTGTTGCTCTGGTCGTGTTAGTATTTTTGCTACAATGTTCTTCTTTAAAAACTCCGCTTCCTTCCGGTGTAAGTCTAAACACTTTGAACAGCAGAGGTTATAATCACATATCATTTCGCAAATCCCAGCGGGAAACATGTTGTTTAACAAAACCTTAACATTTGTCATTTCTTTCTTACAACATCTACAGTGTTTATATTCAAATAGCATCCTCTTAATATATATAGGCAATTTTTCTTTAAGTAGTTTTTTTATTTTATGTTAAGGGGCGGGGTTTATGTTGATATTTTTTTCTAACAATTTAATATAATGGCGAGATTAACAAAAGACCAAATAATCAGCAACATCTATTACGACTTAGACGAGGGTTTCGGAAGCACACAAGCGACACACAAGAAGGCAAAGGAAGAAGACCCAACAATAACATTAGACGATGTAAAGTCTTTCTTAAAGAAACAACCAAATAAACAAATCAAAAATTATAGAGGTACTAATTCCTATACCGCTCCATTCGCACGATATGAATATCAAATAGACATAATGCATATGTCACCTTTAGCAAAAGACAAGAACGTTCCACAGTATGCTTTAGTCGTGATTGACATCTTCAGTAAATTAGCAGATGTAATACCGATGGAGGAAAGAGACGGAGAGCACGTTTTGAAGGCGTTGAGAGCAAGCTTTAAAAAGATGGGTTATCCGATGTCCGTGTATTCTGATGACGACGGAGCGTTTGCAACTAAAAATCAAGTTCAGGATTTCTTCAACAGTGAAGGAATAAACCACATCGTCACGAAGACCCACGCAAATGTAGCCGAGCGTTTTATTAGAACGATGAAAAACAAAATTCACGATAGAGTTAGGTTTAACAACATGAAATGGACCGACGCCCTAACGCCGGCATTGAAACAGTATAACAGCACATCACACTCATCAACAAGGATGACACCGTCTGAAGCACACAAGGACGACAATGAAATAAATGTAAAGGTCAATCTTAAACTACGAGAAAAAAACAAAAGAAAGTATCCCAGAATAGTGGAGAACGACAAGGTAAAAGTGTTCCAAAAGAAAAGGGGTAATTACACCGACAGAAAGGAGTATAACTCTAAATGGTCTAATAAAATATTCAATATTGATAAAATTGAATATGATATTATGGGTAATAAAACTTACAAAGTAGCAGGAATAAACAAACCGCTTTTGAGACACGAAATTTTGTTAGTTAATGATTAAACGTATTTCTTGGTATCTTCTTTATACTTGACTTGATAGTAATCCAGACTTGATTGTTTAGGTTCTTTTATGACTTTTTTCATTCAGTTTTTTAACATAAATGTTTCGTTTATTTTTGTATTCGCTACTGTCTCTATCTACTTCTTTTGCTTGGTAATTGTTATTGTTATTATATGTAGGTTTAAGATGTTCAGTATGTTTTCATTTTGCTCCAACACTTTTTCTAATCTTGGAAACAACAACTCCAAACTACTGTCAATGTTCTCTAAATGTTCTTCCATATATATACTAAATTATAAAACTAAACTTTTAAAACTAAATGTTGCAATTATGTTAAATCTACTCTTTAAATACTAATTTTTCATTATTTGTTTAACAGTTTCCTGTGTTTCCTTATCACCATTATCGGATGGTGATGCATGCCTTCCCCATTTGATAGCAATATTATGAACATCTGTTTCTAAGTTTATACTGTCTTTAGTTTTATCAATATTCATTTTCTTATCATTCTTACTTATTTTGAAACTTGTTGGAACACACGAACATTTACAATTTCCTTTCTTTTCCATTTCTAATTCATTTTTCATTTCTAACATCTTTTTACACACTGGGCAAGCAAACTCAATAACTGATGTTTCTTTAACAATTTCTTCATCAGTTGAAACAACTGCTTCAGTCTTATTCTTTTTCTTTCTTCCCATCTATATTCACATTCATTTTTTTTAATATTTTTAACATATTGTATCACAAATTTGATTAATTCTAAAACAACATAGCATACTTTCTTAAATCTATTATCAGTTATAACAACTTGTTCTATATTTTCTACTTTATCTAATATATCAATATAATCTGAATAACTTCTATTCATATAAAATAATAATTATAACATATTTTCTAAATAACTTTAATATTATTTTATTATGTCAGATGTCTCAATAATAAAACCAATAAACATAACTGATTACGATTTCAAACAATCTAAATATGAGCACGTGCCAACACTACCATTCCGCTCCATCGTTGTTGCATCACCAACGGGTGGAAAAACAGTTTTAATCCAAAACCTTATCCTAAATGTTTATAGGGACTGCTTCGCCCGTATATTCATTTTTAGCCCGTCTGTTCATAATGACCCTACCTTCGTTGAAGTCAAGAAGTACCAAAAAGATAATATGAAGGTTGATGATGAAAAATAAAAGTTATATTATGGCACCTACCAACCTGAAGAACTGGAAGAAATAATTAACACACAAAGAAAGATAATTCACTATATGAAAGAACAGAAGATGAAGAAACTACATTCAATTTTAATCATTGTTGATGATTTTGCAGACGACCCTAAATTTGTTAGATATAGTAAGTTACTTCATGGACTGGCAACGAGAGGTAGACACGATGCCATTAGTTTTTGTTTAAGTGTTCAAAAATATCGTGTCCTAATGCAATCATTAGGTTGAATTCTAGTTCGTTGTATATCTTCAAGTTAAAGAATGTATCAGAGTTAATGTCATTCATTGAGGAAAACTCCGCCATCGTTGATAAAGAGCAACTGTTAAATATGTATCATAAAGCGGTAGATGATAAGCCATACTCCTTCTTTTATGTTAATATGAATTCCAAAGATGTTAATAATATGTTTTATGTTAGATTTGAAAAAACATTTAAAATAAATAAAGATTTAAATATATTATGTTATTTTTTGATTTACCATTTGACATTAAACACCTTGTATAATCTTATAATTTAGGTGATGTAAGATT